TTTGACTGATTCTGATTTGAACCCAAACGTAATTGATCCAAGTATCCAAACTATTGGAGTCAGTTCTGGTATTAGAGTTTGAAAGTAATACTACATGATTTTTTTCACATTATTGTGTTTTTTTTACGTTAGCTATTCCAACTTTTAATAAAATCTCATTTATTTACCTAGCATACACTCTACTACCTTGTAGCACAGTTTAATACTATCATATTGTAGGTTTTAATGAAGTATTAATTGGGTAACACAAAATCGTAGGATCAAAACATCAACGCGTTAAATTGCAAAAGAAAACAATCACAATGTACTTTGCACTACAGTCCTAAAGATAAGGCAATGACACTAGATAAAGACCAACTAATAAGGGTTTATACTAGTAGGCTAGTAAACTCATTAGTACCACTAGAATTCGGGCACGAATACATACAAAGTATAACAAATGATCTATTAAGCCATCTATTAAAATCATCCAAATCGTCATCTAATATAGATATTAACCAAATAACAAACCATTTCAAGACATCTTTTATAAGTAATGGGCTACAAGAACTGTGGGTCAAATTTCAATCTATCCTTCAAATCCTTTCCCAGACGAAATCGGTTGATCAGATATGTAATTATTTAATTTTTTTAAATGCTTTGCAGGGCTCCGAAGAACCAACACCTTTACCATTATCAAATACAAGAATGGCGAGCGTTGGTCACAACTCAAGAGGGTATCATAATATAGAAGAACAAAGAGTACATCATGATTTACAATCATCGCCATATCATGTTTCAAATCATACCTCAAAAATTGGGAGTAAAAATTTCACAACTGCCTTGCCGTTAAATGAGCTCATATCACCATACTATGAGACTTTACCAGAAGAAACTATATTGACATATTTATCCTATTCTCTATTGGGGTTGGATTCTAAATTGTTGTCATTTCTGCGAGACGGGAATTCGATTGAATTACCTGCTAATATTAATAGCAGCTATTCTGGACTACTCCATAATATAATAGAGGCTGGATTAATCTATAAAAAACTCAAATCATTCGTGAATTCTAACAAAGGAAAATTAGACTCGCCTATAAAAACAGCATTTTTAAGATCATTAGAATCTGAATTAAATGTCTATGTGAATCATATTAATGAATATTTTAATACTGAGCCAACTTCATTAATAGCTGTGTACAATGCATTATTTCCTTTTATATTGAAATTGAGACTTTTATATTCCTTAACCAATGAATTGAATTTAAGCGGCTATGAATTTTTATCGAAAGTATACCATTTGTCAAAGTTTGGTGATATAAGAATAAAGGACTTAACACACAATATTTTTATGCGAATTGCAGCTCCTTACTACGAGATTCTTGAACATTGGATTGTAAAAGGGGAATTAATAGATAATAGCGATGAGTTTTTCATAGCATTCAATACTGAAGCACAACATATTAATGATATTATTGAATATTTGCCGCAAAGGATACCTGACTTTTTTGTATCAATGAATAAAACTATGGCCTACAAAATATATCAAATAGGGAAAATGTTAATTTTTCTTCTTAAATATTGTAAAGAATTGAAATGGATTAGTGACTATAGTATGAAATATTCAACTTATATCTTTCAAAATAATCAAGGTATACAGTCAATGCAATCTAATGTTATAATAGATTTAATTAATTTTCAGTATGAAGAAGTTCTAAACTACTTCACTATAGTTTTGCAAGAGAAAAATAACATGTTTCATCATTTAAAGAATTTTAAAAAGTTTTTATTGATGAATTCAAATGATTTTATTGAATCTATAATAGAAAGAGGAATAGTTTTATTCAATGAACCAGCAAATGGTTTAACGTCAAACCAGTTAGCAAAAGTATTAATCGAGTCAATTAATAACTCTTCGGTGAAGAGCTATAGATCAGATTATAAGAATAGATTAGACGCTAGAATTTTGGATCTAAGTCATGGGAACATAGGATGGGAAGTGTTTACATTAGAATATAAAATATCTGACTTGCCGATTTATCATATTTTAAATTATAATAATGGCACATTAGAGTATCTAAAAATGTTTAATTTTCTTTGGAAATTACGACACTTTAGTTATTTGTTGAACTTAAATTTTATTGAATGTTGTAACGTTAAGAAAAACGATTTAAGGAGGATTCTGAGTAGGTATATTAAGTTGAAAAAACAACTAAAGTCCAATTCAAGCTTACGGTTAGGAATTAGAGATAATAAAATTATTTGGTTAATGAAATCTTTCAACACAATTTGCCTTATAAGACACCAGCTCATAAAATTCATATCAACGTTGGTGAAATACTTGTCATTTGATATTATTGAAAATAATTTCGATCAATTAATTGTCAGAAAGCTTTTTAAATCAAGCTCTCCTGTTTCGCATTCAACATTGTCTAATGGCATGGGTGTATTACCTATATTAAATGAAAGTTTCACCAGTGCCTTGAAGAAAGATGAAAATCATTTTTCTAGACCTCCAAAATCGAAGACAATAACGCATAATATGAATGAATTAACATTTGATGAATTGATTAATATGCATACAGTTTACTTGCAAAAGGTTACGCATTTCAAGATTCTAAGCGATACTGAAATAGGAAAACATTCTGGGACGAGTTACATCAAACAAATATACCAATTCTTAGAGATTTGCTTCGCCTTTATAAAAAGTTCAGAAGAATATAATAGTCTCATTGTAAACTACATTTCCATTTTGAATGTTGAAGAAAACTTGCGTTCCGAGGATATGAACCAGTTTGACGACGATCTCGAAGAATTAGAAAACAAGCTTAAAGTTATTGTTAATAAAATCTACAAGGACTTGTATATGACCAACTACAAAAGTATGTTATACATGTTTATAAAAGATCTAAGGTCGGATATAGAACTCAAAGATCTAAGTCGCTTTTTTTAGTCCTTTGCAGCTTTTCGGACATTAGAATATCTGCATAAATTGCATTCCTAATTTTCATGATCATTATATTATGTAACTAGTAATTCGATAAAAAAATTCGTACGATTATTGGTCAATAGTAAACCCGAGACAACCAATACAGCACAGCTTAAGTGTCGTCATGCTCTGATTTATATCTACGAATCATAATGTGTATATTCAAGAATATATTTCGAAAATATATTTCGTCTAAAAGCATAATTTGGACAGCCTATAGTAATCGGCAATTATCTAACTGCATATTATAGAGAGGATACGCTCTTATTGTAGTCTGTGGTTTACGTGTATTGCATTAATCAATAAAACACTCGGTATAAGGAATTTATCCGAGGTTCACAAAAAGTACCGACCAAATATTAAAGTGGGGACCCCCAGGTTTTGAAAAGTTCCTTTATAAACCATAAAATTTTCATTCTTTTCATTCATTAAAGATCAACTAGAGATTATTAAAAAATTATTTATTACAATGGAAGAAGTAGACAGTGTATTAGTCGATAACGTTAAATCGTTTGCCTCTGGTGGATTTGGGGGTATTTGGTATGTGTTATGATGTGGAGCTTAGATAAGTAAATCTTGAAAACTAACATTTTAGTGCTGTTTTAACAGGTCATCCTTTCGATTTAGTGAAAGTTCGTTTACAAACAGGTTTGTATAACTCATCAGTTCAATGTGTAAAGCAAATATTGGTTAAGGATGGTTTACCCGGTTTCTACAGGGGTGTGTTACCACCTTTAATAGGTGTCACCCCTATGTTCGCCGTTTCATTTTGGGGTTACGATGTCGGCAAAAAGATAGTTACTTCATTTACTGGTAAAGAAGTATCTAACTTCTCTATTGCTAATATTTCCACGGCTGGTTTCATTTCTGCTGTTCCAACAACCTTGGTCGCTGCCCCTTTTGAAAGAATCAAGGTCATGATGCAAATTCAAGACGGATCCAAAACGACTTCGATGGGATCAGTCATCAAGGAAATGTACAAAACAGGTGGTCTCAGATCCATTTTCAAGGGTTCTGCTGCAACATTAGCTAGAGATGGTCCTGGATCTGCATTATATTTTGCTACCTACGAATACCTCAAGCGTAAATTATCCACCCCGGATACTGATTTATCTTTATTTGCTATCACCATGGCTGGTGGTTGTGCTGGTGTTTCCATGTGGCTCGGTGTTTTCCCAATTGATACCATCAAATCCACCCAGCAATCATCAAATACTAATATTTCGATTGTTAAAACTACACAAAACATCTACAAGAGAGGCGGTATTAAAGCATTCTTCCCAGGAGTTGGTCCTGCATTAGCAAGATCTTTCCCAGCTAATGCTGCTACCTTCTTGGGTGTTGAGTTGGCTAGAAACTTCTTCGATAAACTCGCTTAGATCATTATATACTTTTACATAATTCCTCATTCTTGCTGATTTGCATAGGCATGAAGGAATTTTGGCTATTTATGTGTACGATTAGTATTATTTATTCAAAAAGCATTTAGTTTGTTTTATTCAACATATCTGTAGTAGTGGTGGTAATACTAGTAGTAGTAATAATAGTAGTGCGAGGATCAAAATCACCATTGAAATGTTCAACTCCTTAAACCTCGATAAGATTAATGTCAGTACTAATAAACATCTGTCTACAAATAATACAATAGCTTAGAGTAAAACAATGTCTTTGACTGATGATCAAGTAAGTAATACATTTCAATTGGAGTTAAATTTACGGAAAAACTGGATTACTAACGTCATTTAGGTGAATACTGAGCTCCGTAAGATGAAGGCCTTCATCGAGAAGGAAGCACAAGAAAAGGCCAAAGAAATCAGATTGAAGGCAGACGAAGAATATGAGATCGAAAAAGCATCAATAGTTAGATCTGAAACTGCTGCTATTGACTCTACTTACGAGCAAAAATTAAAAAAAGCATCGTTAGCCCAGCAAATTACCAAGTCAACCATTGGTAATAAAACTAGATTGAGGATTTTGTCTAAAAAGGAAGAAGTATTAAAGAATATATTCGAAGCCTCCGAAAAGGAATTGAGCAAGACTACGTCCAAAAAATCTGCCTATAAGCCAGTTTTGACTAACTTGATCGAAGAAGGCGTGTTAGCTTTGTTAGAGAAGAAGGTTACTATTAAAGTCAGAGAAGCAGATGTTGCTTTGGCAAAAGAAGCGGCACCAGATGCAGCTAAGGAATATGAAGCAAAGTCTAAGACCCCGGTTGAAATTGTTGTTGACGAAGAGAATTTCTTGAGTAAAGATTCCCTCGGTGGTGTCATTGTCACCAACGAAAGTGGAAAAATTGAAGTTAATAACACTTTAGAAGAAAGATTGAAGTTATTATCTGAAGAAGCATTACCAGGTATCAGATTAGAATTATTTGGTATTTCTGAAACCAGAAAGTTCTTTGACTAATATTTATTCCATTCTACTTTTAGCTTAGAGATAACGTTAAAACTTTGTTTGTAGTAATCCATCTTCATTTTGTTTTAAATTGTCTGGTTTATAACCATATCTACTTATTTTATAATTCTACATATTTTTATACAAATTTAAAATAAACCATTCATTAGCCTTATCGAAACGTCAACAAGAAAAATTGCGACTAAAATCTTGCAGAGAAAAAAATGAAAGCATCTATCAAGCAATTTAAGTTCATTTAACTATATTTCATATACCTAGATCCTTTTTCATATACTTGTTTGCTTGCTATTTTATAAAAGCAAAGTTTGATGTATTCCATAGTTCAAAAATTATTTTATTAGTGATTAATTAGCTGTATCAACCAGGTTCAATTTTGAATTTTTCACAATCAATCATTACAAATCATATATGTGGGCTTCTCTACGTCATATAAAATGCCCAGCACCCAGGTATATAGTTCACCGGTATCCATCTGGACTATTCAATCAGTTTATCAAATATAAATCAACAGTATCACGGAATCAAGAAATTTTGAAGAAAATCACAGAAACTAATACACATGCAATGAACAAAGCTGATACTACAGATGGTACCTCAAAATCTTTCTTAGATCATCAGTTTGAACCCGATAAACTTGTACCTACACATGATGAAAAAATAATTTATAACAGATTGAAACCAATTACCCCGAATGATTCGTATGTATCGTGCACAATATTCGACATTAAAGGTAACATTACAGCAGTTTCTAGAAAATATCCTAAAATGAAGTTTCTTAAAGGCAACGACTTATTCCCTCGAGATCTCCGAAAAATCGATACTTCTTCGATCGATGTTGTGCCTCTGATTATGGTCCGTTCTCCAAATTGCATCCTTGTAAATCTACTCCATATCAAGGCGATAGTTAAAAAGGATAGTGTCATGGTATTCGATACTTCTACACCGTCGATTGCAGCAAAGCTAGGCTTGTTTATGTACGACCTTGAAATGAAATTAAAATTACCGTCCGGAAACATCTCCTACGAATTTAGGGCACTCGAAAGTATTCTTATCAGTGTTATGAGTTATTTGGAAGCAGATTTGAAAAGCCACTTACAGGGATGTGGACTCATATTAGCAGAACTAGAAGACGAAATTGATAGAAGCAAATTGCAAGACCTCTTAATCAAGCTGAAAAAATTATCCAGTTTTTACCAAAAGGCCGTTTTAATTAGAAATGTTTTGGAAGAACTCTTAGACAATGATGAGGATTTAGCCGGGATGTACTTAACCGATCCTATTAAGTTTGATCCAACTGTTGAAAACCCCACTGATTTTGCAGATTTAGAAATGATGTTAGAATCGTACTATAAGCAATGCGATGAGTTTGTTCAGCAAGCCGGGTCGTTGATAAATGATATTAAAGCAACTGAAGAAATTGTAAATATTATCTTGGATACTAATAGAAATTCGTTAATGTTATTTGAGTTAAAGATAACGGTTTACACTCTAGGGTTTACAGTAGCTACTTTATTACCGGCTTTCTATGGTATGAATTTGAAGAACTATATTGAAGATTCAACTATTGGTTTTGGTGCTATTGTAGTTTTTTCAATTATACAGGGTATTCTAATTACGATGTTAAATTTCCGTAAATTACGGAAGGTTCAAAAATTAACAATGATGGGTGGTACCGGCAATGGTAACCATTTGCACCATACTTCCAGCCCTATTGGGTTAATGAATAAAGACAAATGGTATTACAGATTATTCTATGGGAACAGAAATACAAAATATGATAGACCAACTTCAAAGGAAAATGACGTAATATGGAGAATGATTAATGACGACAAACCACTAAAATAGACAAGTTCATGTATATATATTTGAAACAAGTAATTTAATAAACAGTTTAATCTAATGTAATTTATTAATTGTACATATAAAAGAGAAAATATTTTTAATGCAGTTGAAAGACAAATATTTTAATTAAATCTAATCCGATTCTTCTTCTTCAGAATCTGAGTTATTAACGACTGCGCTGTCTTCTTCTTCCTCATCATCACTTGCTTTCGAATAGCCAGGTAAAGTACTTAAGTCATCTTCTTTTGGTTCCGGAATTTCAGTAACTGTTGGTATATCCTCGTCATCGAATTTCTTGTGCTTACCTGATTGCGATGTGGTTGCCGACGAGGATGATGAACGACGCTCTCTGAAAATAGGTTGTGCATCTCTTTCTGAACCTGGCTTTATCAATGTACCATCTAATGAAACCACTTTACCTGTAGTGTGAATTGATTTGATTGTAAATTTTAATTTACCTTCAATTTTAACATTATTTTCATCAGCCCAATATCCAAAAGATTTAAATTTAGTAGTATCGCTGACTTCTTCCGAGTATTCATCTTCTTGACTTGGAATAAAACTCCAGTCAACAGGTATGTTGAATTTTTTAATTGAAGCATTGAACGTATCGTGAACTAACAAACCTATGTGCGATGCTGTTTGCATGTAAATATATCCTTCCAATATATCTCCAGCTTGGGGTCTCCATATTAAAAAGTCTACCGATACCCATAAGAAGGTAAATGGAGACGAATCTGTTATTTTGGCCACAGTGATAGTATTGTCATCGGTATCTTTTGTAACATTGTCCTCTGATATTTTGATGTTTGAATATGCTAAACATACTCCCTTGGCTTTTGGAAAGTAACTCATGATCAAAGGATCTAAATGTTGTGATTTAATACCGTTAATAGGGTTAGATATATGACATGGTGCTAATGATACATATAATGATGTTGTAAATTTTTGAAAGCATTCAGAGATACCTTCATTACCAATTGGGTTAGTACTTTTTGGAGCTACGAATTGCTTTCTTTTCTTAAATTGTGGTTCATTGGATGCGTTGTACCCATTACTCGTATCAAATGACATGGTTATTTGTATATACTATTAAATATATATATATATTCTAAAGTTGAAGTAATAAATCAGTTTGTATGAAGACTTACAAGATGAGAAGTCAAAAAAAATTGAAAAATTTTGAGCCGCACTGCACAGCAAAAAATTTAGTAGACTATTATGCAACAAATACGTATATTCAAAGTAGTTTATTCTTAAACTTGGATAGACCAGTTTGAGGTGGTGGACTAAAGGTACCAGCTGATGAATCACGGAGATGAGATCTTAAAGACAAACTTTCTTCTGTTTTTAATAACTGATCCTTTCTCTTGAATCCAGGTTTATTTGGTGGAGCTTTGAATACTGCAAAATTTTTTAACAATCTATTAGCGTAAGTTGTTGGTGCATCTTCTAGTTCTGAATACTCAGGAACACCAGTGAACCTCACTTTTTTGGCCTGGCCACCTGCACTGTTACCTTCAGACGATGCAGACGATACCGATGAAGCAGACGTATTTTGTGCATTAATTGTTGTCATTGAAGAATTGTTCGGAGATGCTGGATTGCCCAATTGCGGTGTAACACTGTTTCTCCTTGTGTTTCTTCTTGTTACTTGATCACGGGTTTGGGGTTGGTTTTGCTGTGTGGTTCCTTGGGATTGTGCGGATCCTTGTTGTTGCGTAGGAGGATCAGATAACTCATTCAGTTGAGGCGATTCAACGGATCTACGTAAATTAAACGCAGATGGTTCACTCGGATCAAATACAACAGAAGTCAATGTTTCCTTTTGTTGCGTCATGAGTGCACCAGACTTTGTTGCTTGTCTCAAATGTAATTGTAACCTTTGATTTGCCGTTAGCGGTTTGGCTGAAGTGGTATTGTTATTCTCCTCTTCCTCAACCACAATGAGACTATGTTTACTCGTGGGAGATGGGGACGAGATATTGTGCTGCTGGGTTCCATTTCCCAGTCTTACTTGGGATCCCAGCCTTTTTATTGAACCGGATGGAGACCTCATATTTGACGGTGAGCTGAAAGAACCAGATGGAGAACGCAAAGGGGAATTGGGTGATTTCAAACTATTGCTTCTTGCCAACGCTGCCGCTGCTCCTGAAGCAGCTTTAAGGGTATTATCTTGCACCACAGATACTTTAGGACTGATTGGCAGAGATGTTGATCTCCGACGACCGGATGGAGTAGTAGTCGCAGCCGAATTAATTTCGCTTCGTGTAGAGGATGGGAAAGTGGATAATGAAGAATTGGAATTCATAAATAACATAGAATTTGGTCTTTGATTAAGTAGATTTGATGCTTTTGATGCAGGCAGAGGTAACATGGAATTCCTGTTGGTTTGAAATGATGGTTTTGCCTTAGTTGAATTTACTGAAAACTTATTGGAACTGTTATTACTGGAAAGACTTGATATGGACGATGAACGTGATCCTTTAGTAGGCAGTAGATCATTTAGGTCTAATTTCTTCAAATCTTGTTCAAGCGATTTCGGGATAGCTTCATCTATCTCGGGAAATTTCTCTAAATTGTCTGATGAATCTTTACTCTCTTTACTCTCAGATAGTTTCTTTTGAGAAGTCCCAGTTTTGTTGTTGATGACACTTTTCGTAGATCTCGGATCTGCTGTTGTCGATTTCTTAGGCCCAATTGCAGAATTCGTATCCCCCTGAAGTCTATTCTTTGATTCCTTCATGCTTTGGAATACATCTATTAATGTCTTTTTCGGTAATCCATAAACTTTCCTAAATCTTAGTTCTGATGAAATCCAGTTAAACCCAAATTCTTCGAATTTGAAAATCATATTTTCAAGCATGGTGTAAGCCTGATTAACAAAATTTGAAAAATCCAATAAAGTCTTGTAACTTATTTCATATTTAGAGTTCTGTCTAACAAACCTCGTTAAGTTAGCAACTAAGGTTCCATTCTTTTTAGTTGCATTGAACAATTCGTCCACTTCCTTTAACAAATTCAATTTAAAATAATTTGAATTACTTGATTGGAAGGCTAATTTATAGTCATAAAGATGCTGATAATTAGAAAAATAGATTTTACGCCCAACTTTTCGTAAAATAGAATATATCTCATTCAATCTCAAGGTCAACATTAACACTTTATGCAATGCATATTTTCCATCCGAAATCGATTTAACGTACTCTTCCTGTTGTGTCTTTGGAATTGTTCTCAATTTTTGGAAAGGAATAAGATTCGGTTTCAAATGATTAAGAGTAGAACGTAATTGCCCTGTAATGGTGAAAATCATTTCAATGTCCATATCTGTCAAAGAAGCTTCCACATAGTTTTCGTCTTCTAACAAAGATTGATCCTCTGGCAATTTATGCAATAAGCCATGCGCCAAAGTCAAGTCGTTATCGCTCTTATCAAATATTTGGTCCTTCAACATCGATTCCAAGTCACCGAAATAATTAGGAGATAATACCTTCAGTTTTTCCTTCGTGATCTTAGCCTGCTGTAATCTTTTCTGGTATCCTTGTAAACAGCTGTAGCACAATTCTTCTAGAGATTTCAAACACTTTACCCCCGATTCTGGGCTGGGTAACTCCGATAATGGCTTGACAGCGGTATCTGGGTTATCGTACGGTATGTGTGTCACAGCATTGGAAATACTAATAGGTATTGGCTTGAAAAGCTTGAATTCGCCTATTATTTCCAACTTTGTGCTAAATACTCCTTCGTTAATGGCAAATATGCTTCCACATAACAATACCGCGTATTGCACCAACGGTAACTCTTTTGATTCCGTAGCTTTTGCTGCTAGTTTCTGTATCGCTGGAATCAAGCTCTGTATCTTGGTAATGCAGTACTGATACTGAATAATTTTGGCGTCAAGCGTATCTATGTAGCCTGGGCCACCTCCGTCTTCGGTTGTGGACATCTTTTAAAGTTTTCTGAAATCCACAGTTAAAGTTTAAGCAATTACAAAATTCTCCTTCTCTTTTCTAATATACAGCCTCTGTATTGAAAATATTCACAAATTGTAGTATTATTTATTTAAATTAGTATATTAGTTTTCCTTACATGCAATTATGTTTTGTTGAAATTTCGAATACGCTCGCATTTCTCGTCTGATTGATAATTCGTTTAAATTCATTCCCTCCTAAATCTTTAATGGTTATTATTATAAGCTTTCCAATAGACGATATTTGACATCAGACTAGACTACCTGCTTTCTTTAAAATCACGATAAGTTAGCATACTAGTTCACGACTAAGGACTACACAAGCACCCGATTTCACGACTGGGCGATTAATTCAGAATGATCAAAACCAAATTAAGGATTATATTCTTATCCATCCACACGCCATTACAATAACACAGGGTCTCCAGAACGCTTCAATACCCCCATGAAACCAAAGTTGCCGCCATGCCGTCAATTTACCCACTGTATTGACTGATTGATCGGAACGCGGTCACGTGCATCCTGGTAGAAGTCATATCAACGGTAAAATAAAAACAAACAGTGGATCGAATACTAAAAGCTAACAGCACCACAGGCGTTCTCGTTTAGGTCTGAATTCGATATATGAGTGCCACTGATTACAGGGCTACGGCTTTATTGACCGAGCATTTTGGGTTCCCACCGCTTGCGATTATTGATGATGTTATAAATGCGGTCAATGACATTATGTATAAATGCACACAAGCGATGGAGACATATTTAAATGAGAGACAACAGAAACGACTAGAAGAGATAACAAAGGAGAAGAACAGCGACGAGGATGTTGTGATGGAGGGAGCCGAGGACACGAAGTCTGCAATTCCGGATGACGAAATACAATTAGGTACGGCCAAGTTGGAAACGTTGTTGGAAAGTCAAGTTGACAAAAATTTCGATAAATTCGAATTGTATGCATTAAGAAACATTTTCACGGTTCCTTCAGACTTAGTGAGAGAAGGATGGGTGAGGTTGACGCATCACGAGGGTATAGAGTTCCAGCAAGACGACAATTCACATAAACTTGATGAAGAAATAGAAAAGTTGATCAAATTCATAAACATGGAACTAAGCCTCCGTAAGATTCTAAAGCTTCAAATAACAAAGGCCAACAAGCTTGTGCGGATGCTCAGACAGTTTCGCCTGTGTTTGGTCTTCTTGGACCACGAAAATAATAATGGTGAGAAATTGACGGCCGAAGCACGTCTTGCAATAAAGTCTCTTTCCCCCTTGGATGAAAACTTGTATTTCTTGCTATCTCAAGTAGATGACTTAATAGGACAAGTTCTGAACATGCATAGCAAATTTAAGAATGGCGTTTCCCAGGGTGGAATCAGTGACATGACCTTTACGCCTACAGTGAGAGATAGATACATACAGGGCAAGTCCTTTAAATTACTTGAGAGCATTGGGGTATTGGAACCAGACCATCTCCAGAACTCCCAGAATGAAACCTTGCATATTACAGACTTCAATTCGACTACTGACATCGAAAACGTGAAGCAAATTAATGAAACATTGCAGTCAATAAAGCTGCCAGAACCTCATCCGCAACTTTCTTCTGGATAAGAGGACCGCTATTGATGCTCTCTGCGGTCGTCGTACGAGAGTTCTAACCAATTGTATACTAGCTTACATAGTAGAACTAATGTATGTACACTATAATTATGTCGTGTTATAATCAGTTTTATTTTTGTGTAATTTGTACGGCCAATGAAAAATCCTCGAAGTCAAATTATATTGCCTATACAAAGTTAGATAGTTAAAGAAAACATTATACAATAATCATATAATATATTGCAATATGGCAGGCACCTTGAAACCAGATCCAGCATTTCAAAGATTCAATGCTGCAAAAGAATCATTTGGAACATATTTCCGTTTTACTCCAAAATCAATCGCATTTAACTTGTTAATGATGGGAGCTGTTCCAGCAGGTTTAGCATACTATGCTTATTCCAGTGACGGACAAACCCCATTAAGAAGATTATACAGAACTTCTCCAATTTTAAGTGGTGAAGAATACGTACCAAGAGATAAAGACTTATAAAGGAAAACATAACCCAGAATCATCAAATATTTACCTGAATGGTAAATCTTTTGCCCTGAAATTGTCAAAATAAAGACTAAGCATTGCATTATATTACTCAAAAGACTCCGTCTTTTGCTTCGTCTTTTTAATTTACTTCGTTAGAAATTACATTAATACATATTGAAGATTTGAAGACTCTTAGCTTTGTAGAGTGGACCTGAAGAACATTTTGTCCGAAAATATGAAAAGTAGTATTAAATATATATGCTATTAGAAGAATAAAGTACGTGTACAATGATATAGTGTAAGAATCATTTGTGAAGTAAATGAAATAAGCTTTACTGAAGTTTGGGATACAAGAAAAGTATCGAACCTTTCAAATAATTAACCGAAAAAACTTGTAGTTGTCGAAAGTAACCAAATTTGGTGTCGAGAATTAATCCCAAGCGTTTTATTTATTCCCATTATTGTTTAAGTCAAGTTGAAACAGTAACATACCTGATTTCATGTTTCTCAAGACCTTAGGTGAAGTAGCTAAAGAGCTAGAAGAATGATGATGCGCTATAGGTGTATGGTTACTAGGTTTCACTATACTAGCATCAGTCACGCTGTTTGCTTTCTTCACGCTTGGTCGTTCATTTACTTTTTGACTAATTTTGGGTAATGACTTTCTTCTTAACTTGGAGTTTGAATTAGACTGTATCGAAAACGATTTCTTTTCGATAACGAATGAGAAATTATTAGTGGTATTTGAATTCACGGGGAATGTATTCGAACATTCGCTCAATGAAAAACTAGGCTGGCTCCTATTTACAGGAGTCGTATTGATTGAAGAATTTGATGACGAACGTGGTACAGCTCCAATTAACGTATCTGATTTTTGGATTACTTTATCCAGCGAATATTTCGTGGGTGAGCTAGATGGCGTTCTAGAAGATTTTGGAGAAGACGATTTCTTTTTAGGAGATCCGAATTGCTCAATCAGTTTATCTTGTTCTGGGGTAGATGGTCTCTTATATAATGATAGGTTTGAATTTGATTTAACAGTACTTCCGTTCGTCGAAGGCTCATTCATGATTTCGTTCAAGTTAAAATCCAAATCTAAACCCAAACCAACAAAGTTCGGTTGTGGTTGAGACATATCATCATAATCGATAAAGCTGGAAAATAAACTGTTGTCATTACTCTCATCTTCAAGCGCCACTGGGCTTGTTAATTCAAGCAATGGATCATCCTTTAATAAATCATCTATTGTAATTTCTTTATCGTATTCGTATACATCCGAAGCTTTTAGATCTTCCAAGCTGGAAAATGAATCCTTTTTGGATCTTGAAGACTTCTTTGGCTTTGAAGGTTTGGTGACGCTAGAGGCCACGCTAGACTTTCTGCTGTGGGAAACCTTCTTATCATTATCTACTTGTTTTGTGACTTTGTGCTCGATGTTCTGGTTCATTGGGTTTGCCGGAATAAACTGGTTGTTCTGGGCCATCAAATGTTGTTGCTGCATCAAAAACTGTTGCTGAACCAAGTGTTGGTTAGCCAGTTGATTATGCTGGTATGAATTTGCATTAGGTGACATGTTCATTGTAGCTTGTCCCACCATTATGGGTGTAGCATGCTGATTCTGTGTAAAAACATACTGGTTTTGATAATTGCTCCTTGGTATACTATTGGTGGGTGTAACTGTCTGGAAGACATGTACGTTAGTGGAGCCATTTTTATTGTTGTTAGAAAATACTGGACTACTATCGGTGGTCGGCGTCTGTAAATGAAATCTATTCATTTGCGACGTCAACTGAGTAGGGCTCTGAAACATGTCATGCGAAGTAGATGTAGGTGAACTGTCCACTATCTGTGGCCGGATTACCTGTTGAGGAGGCATGGGCCGAAATTGCTCGTTGGTAGGAGAAAATTGTAGCGAATGATTATTTATGCCCGCTCCATTTATAGGGTTGGTCTGTGCATTAAATGGAATTGTCTCAATCGATAACTGAGAAGCCGGTTCTTTGTTTGGAATATACTGGTGATAACTCATAGTTCTAGTGGAAGACTTTTGTTCCTTCGTTATTCACCTTCTCTCTTATCTTCTTTTTCTTTGTTTCTCTGTCTTTTTCTAGTAGAGAGTCCCTCAAGTATCAATCTAGCTAAATTGTATTTCTCGTTATCCGTTCAAAGACCGATATACTAGATAGTAAATAAGGGTTTCCTGATCAGAATGTCTTCTTCAAGTATTTAAAGCGAATGTGATAGTGATAAAGTTAAATTTGAAGTAATAGTATCAATGAATCCAAATTATGATATAATATTCAATATAAGAAGAAAGTTATACTTGAAATTTCTTCATCAGTTATGTCCATTTTTTTGATATATTAAGGGTATTAATTGCGATTTGTGAAAAATACTGGTTTGTGCGGCTTTTGTGTAACTTCTATTATGTAGAATTCCCTAGGTGGAGATAACCAGCATTGACTAAGGCAAATACGAACATACATTTTCACGAGGTAAATTAGTAGATTTTTTTATTCACACGGCATCGCTTGATCCGTATGCTAGCAGAAATATAAATTTTGATAGTTAAAAAGTATTATTGGTGTAGTAAATTCTGTAAAAGTAATTCGGAAGAAAGGGTCCTCTGTACATATTGAGCTACAAAGATGTTACAAAGTTAGAATCATGTGTCATGTATTTCTATTGAATGATACATAATATAGGTTGTACTATCATATACTACACTCACAATCAAATTAGAGGTACTCAGAATAATATCAGCTGAGTTTAAAGAGTTACTTCAATCCGTGCGATATGGGGTGCTTTTTTTTATTGCGGCATTTTGATAAGGAGGCATTTTGATAAGGGCTTTTCGTAATAAGAAAATTAGGAGCTTGGTTTATTGAGTTTTGATATATGCATAGGGCACTGGGCCAGAGGTTAAGAGGTGAGTTTTCCCTACAGTGACGTATAGAACAATTGGCGCGAATTGTTTAGCCGACCTTTGATTTTATCAATGGCTCATTTGTGGTATTTCAGAACAATGAAGAGTTATGATTCGATAACCAAGAGAATTGGCAATCAAGCCCTTATTTAAGAAGTTCTAGACTTCGAAGATAAGACATAAAGATATCCTGACTACACTCATTTTTCAATATTACATTATATTTCTAATAAATAACCATTTCTCACACGTAAACATAATAAACCCTATAAAAAATTAAATTAAAACCCAACCTTATATGTACAAAAATAAATCTCACTTATACCTATTATCCATACCCAATGCACTGTATTTTTTTGTCTTTTATCTTTTCTTGTATAAATAATTAGTGGAAATATCATACATCTTACAAATATTTCGTGAAATGAACGTCGTTTAACCAACCGACCTTTTCGAAGGCTGCAAATAGTCTACTGGCCTTGTTGACATCAATCCTACATGCCTTCTGTGCATCAGTACGTCTGAATTGCATGCCACTCTTCATACGATTGACCTTTTCGAAAAATAACCTTCTCTTCGAATCAAGATACACATTGCATGGTAACCTCAATGTCGATGCCAATAAAACTTCTGCAGGATGCAATTTGTCTGCGTTAGGATCGTTTCTTAAGTCCATTGGCTGTCCCTTCCACTCGACCTTCAAGCTTCTGTTATTACCCTTAGGTAAAGTCGAAACTTCCGGAGAATAGTCAGGGATGTTCTCGTCTATGAATGATGCTTGTTGAATTGCCAATGGAGAACCAGTATACGAAGCTTCCTTTCTGGCCTTCTTCTTTCTTGGTGATGGTGATTGTGAATTAGCCCTCGAAGACTCAATATCCGAAACACCACTTCCAATCACAGAACTTTCCTTAGCTATTCTTCTTGTCCGCACTCTCTCTGTGTTGGTAAAATCAGAATCACTATCTGAATTAAACTCCCTCTTGCGGCTCGCTATTCTTCTAGTAGGCTGTGGCTGTGACTTTTCTCTTGCAGAAATGATTGAATACTGCTCAAGAAACTTGAATTGTTTTGCCTTGTAATTAGAGTCAAGCCCGTTCCATGCATTTACCTTCAATTCGTACTTCTTGTAGTTTTCAATCTTGAATGGACTCGAACTCAAAACGTAGTTCTTGGTCAATGCACCACCTTGTGCGGTACCGTTCTCCTCAATGGTATCATTGGTAGTGGTGCTATTCCTCTGATACGGCGACAATGGAGGACTCAAAATCGTACTACCTCCACTGGTACTTGAAGTAGTAGTATTGCTGCTGCTTGGTTTATAAAAGTTCTCTTGCTTACTAATTGTGGGTGAGTTTGCTTCAACCTCTATCTGGTTGTTTGGGGTCAAGCATCCAGAATCCCCTCTCTGATTGATAGTCCTTGCTAATGGGTGATACATAACTGACATATTCTAATTAATAAGTGTAAAATACCCAATTTATAATTAACCTCCAAAAAAGTTATCAAAATTTAGTCATTGCAATTGCAAGTATATTTATTTATTTATTTATAGAGGATGACTATTTAGATAGGATGCAAATTTTTTTTTTTCTTTTTTTTTTTTTTGCGAAAAAAAATTGTATGCATGATTAAAAAGAAACGCATCAGAAGGATATCGATCTTATTACACCATCAATTGGCTTTTTGCTATAGACAACTGGAAATCAATGGGCCTCTTACTGATGCTAGTAAACACGAGGATTCCAGCTATGGCATCCGTTTTGTCGTGGCCTTGTTGTATCTCTCATAAATCAAGATCGCATTCTGTTATCGGATCTGCGTCACTGCATAAACCCCAGTGACCTTCGGACAGAAAAGAATCATTTTTTCATATTCGTGCTTCTCTACCATTTCTGTTTTATTCGGCGCTTTCTATTGGCTCTTTTTCTATTTACGAACACAACCGTATAGTGAACTATTGTTTGTTTGCAGTGAAGACTTCAATTCTTGTCAATTGCAATTCGATACTTTGGTGCCATTATAGTTTCATACGATCAGTTGTTTCACATGATATAAGTCAATTGACCTGTGATTGTGACTCCAGACATATCTAGCAGTTAACTAGTAAGATGTGGCATTCGTTGTTAGTATGCATAGAAAACCGGTCATGGAGATCGTAATAATACCCAATCGCAATAATTCGATTACAGAAGCATAATTAGTGTCATCGAAATACCCAAGATAGTGACACCCAGCGTAACTGCCAAGTACTGAATTTTACTCGGTCATGCGAGTAACATTGGGAATGCAATGTAGCGCAGACGGCCGGTTATATTTCTGACCGCGCACAACTGCCGTGGTGGTAGTTCCACTGGTGCATGAATAAGTCCGTATTGCCGGGAAGGTCTGCAGCCTCGACCTGAGGATATTTGGGGGATCGGCATCTCGAGTTCGATTTCAAGCCTCGCCAATAAGATAAATCTTACACGTGATTGTAAGCGAATTTTTCTGCCTCATCATCACTCTAGAGTGTTCGATTAGGCAGCAGAAGAAGTTTGAGTTCTGTTACAGGGAATGGTACTAAGGCTTATCAAGACTGCGATATCAAACATAGTACCTTTCAAAAAAACGATGATTGAATACGGAGGTAAACTAGCACTTGCGCCGATGGTGAGAAGTGGAGAGATTCCGACAAGACTTATGGCGTTGAGATATGGAGCCGATCTTGTGTGGACTCCCGAAATTGTTGATAAGAAGCTCATAAAGTGCCAAAGGGTACAGAACGATGATTTGGGTACCGTGGATTTTTGGATCCAAATAAAAAGCTTGTTTTTAGGACATGTCCAGAGAAAGAACGGGGAAAGCTCATATTCCAAATCGGGTCGGCTGACGCCGAGTTGGCAGTACAGGCTGCTAAGGTAGTGGCACAAGACGTGGATGGTATCGACTTGAATTGTGGGTGCCCTAAGCCATTCTCTACCCATTCAGGGATGGGGGCAGCGTTGTTATCTACCCCAGATTTGCTTGTGCTGATTTTGGAAAATTTGGTGAACCAAGTGGGAAAAGTGTATAATATTCCGATTAGTGCTAAAATTAGACTTCTTGATGATGCAGATGCGGTGCCTTCATTGGCACTTATTGATAGATTGTGCAAAACAGGAATCTCAAACTTAACGTTGCACTGCCGTACCCCCAGAATGAGAAATAGAGACGCACCCATAAGAGACTTTTTACCGGCCATCATAGAAACTGTTCACTCCAATAATGTAAGCTTTATAATTAATGGATCTATACGTAATCGTCGGGAATTTAGCATATTGCAACAGAAGTACGGTAATAAAGTAGGGGGCATGATTGCAGAAAGCGCAGAATCTAATCCAACTGTTTTTGCAGCAACCCCTTTGCCTTGGAATCAAGTCGTACCTGAATTTATCAAAATCGCACAAGAAATGGATAATTATCCGGGGAATACAAAATATATAATGCTCAACCAGGTTCCTGGTAAATCCAAGTTCTATCAGAAGTTCTGTCAGGCCAAAACACACAAAGAATTATTTGAAATTGCCGAAACAATAGGTGAAGAGGGAAATAAGATTATGATGAAATATATGCAAAAAGATGTATTGATAAACCCTTCAGATTTCGAGAGTTACCGATATGAAATACAAAACAAACGCAAGTTAGAACATGAGAATAAGATTAATGATAACGAAAAAATTGATAAGAAACAGAAAACAGTAGCTGTCACTGTATAATAGAATTTATAGACTACTCTCAATATAATACGGTATACGATATAGTAACAGTTCATTAACACCCTTTTTATCTATATACAGCTTGTGGGTTCAAGCAAATAAATTATAAAAAAAATATAAACAGTGATATAGCAGTGAAATACTAACCCCCTCCAGGAATTAAAATACAAATTTGAGCTCTTCTTTAAATCATACTATTCTAACTGTTCTCACTCTTGAAGAATTTACTTTTCCAGATTTTTGTTAATTGACATTCTCCCGCTTGTGCGCTTTGAAGATATCCTCATTAAAATGCAATGCAAGTTTTGCGCTTAATAGCCTCCTATTAACATTATTATGCCAAAAGACGCTTAATACCACACCAAGCACCTGCAGCTCCAGCCATTAAAGCTGTAGAATAACCCATTGGTCTAATTCCAGCACTACTTCTGAAAAGAGCACCAGCTAAACCACCAGCAACTATGGAATTGATGTCGTCATGTTTACCTCTAACAGCATCTAATGTTGAATCAATCAAGTTGTAAGTTAAAGCCAAAACACCGGCAGAGTTACCCAAAAATGGACCTCTTTTAGTAATGTGATTCAAAACAGTGTTTAATTGTAACTTGGAGGAGGCGTTCTTTGGTAAATTTTTGATACCTTCTTGAAAACCGTAGGCTCCACCAACACCTAAACCCATCAAGTATACCGCACCGGTACCGTAACACAAATCATCTGTCCAACTCCTGGAAGGAATTAAACCCTTGGCACCTTCGATATCATTTAATTGTTCTTCTTCCAAGTCTAAGTACTCAACTCCCTTTTCCAATCCCGCTAATGGATGTAATCTGGACGAATCTAAAACACCTGGTGCTTGTAAAATAGATGATACATCAGACACTTGTGCTGGATCAAATCCCAACGAATTTTTTAATTCGGCTTCTTTTTTCTGTTCTTCGGTTTTACCTCCAAATAACCAAGACATCTTATATATATATTGTTATTTTTCTATTCTAATTTACCTATGAATAGATTTGGCCACACTATAGTAATTTTTCAATCTTCGCCGGTAATAATTTTCATCTTTTTTGTCATATTGTTACCCGGATTGATTTTAAAATTCTTTTTTCTTTATTCCTATCGCTTCACTGGGGATCGAACCGCGATGTTTTGCGGATCGGCTTCCTTGGGACCTTTTGCAACCATATACCTAGTTTTTGGTATCTGACTTGGAGATTGAATTATTGATTAGAAATGGTTACGTACATCAAATAATTATTTTGTGATTGGCATTTCTGATTTTTGCATCATCAAGTCCCAAAAGTGTTTACTCTATTGCTGTATTTTGTTCTGATTTTACATCTTTCCTGATAAACTGTACAAAAAATGTAAAAACTAAAATACTTTGTGTTGGTTCTAAAATATGCTACATACATCACTCAAATCAAAGCATATTGTATCGACAAAATGGAAAGTGTAGAATAGCTTCTTTCAACAGACTCTAGGATTGTCCATTTTTCTATGGTAGCATAATTTGTCATAAAGGCTAAGTTGTGGAAGCATTTAATTAGTCTGGTACTATTCCTTTCCCAAATCAGTAATGAAAATATTCTGATACCTGATTCTAATTAACACACACGCATCCCACACTAACAAACTAGTGTGGTATTTAATGCGAACTTCGCAATCCATTTGCAATCCAACGGTTTTGCGAAAAGCTCATCTTGAATAAAATAACACATAGTCTCAACTCTTTTGCATTACCTAGTCTCTCATATTCGCAACATCTTTCTAAATTCAGTATGGTCTTATAACTTCCATTTCATATTGCTACAATAAGTCTACAAGTACATTATATGATAAAAAAACGAACAGAGCGTATACAGAATATGATAATGGGTATTATCAAAGCCGTTAAGCCTACATAAATCTCTAACTCTATGCCTGTACTCGCGGATAGTTAGTGCCTTTCCGATATCTCTATGTTCTTTGTCCAATAACGCCTATTACTTAATCTCTTATACGACTAGATCAACTACGTCAATTAATGCGCATATTTTGGGCCAACACAGGGCCTTAGTTTACTGGGCGATCGGCAAAATGTTGGGATTGTATTGCGCATACATCGGTACACCTGTAGTACTAAAGACCATCACTCTAGAGGCGTCGTGTGGCCACCGGGACTCACTAGGCTGCGAATTGTCTTCTAGTTGTATTTGTTGGTTCAGACTACCTGGTATCTATGGTGGAAAAATATTTATATAATGGAACTATTATCCAAATTTTTTGATTCTTTTTGGACATTGTAATTATATTATAATATATATTTAAAACATTGTTGTTCTAGACTAATAGAACTACTGCAACCCGTACTATAAATTCACTGTTAAATTTAACTGTCAGGTTTTGATTTACAGTTACAAGCAGAAAAGAATTAATAACTTGATTCTGACCAATTGAAATTTGATTCAAAACTTTCAATTGTATTTATTAACCTCCAAATATATTAGCTACAAGGTATGTTGTTTATTTAAATGAAAGAGAGCACATAGTATATAGCGTCTACAGTTGGCAGTAGACGCTAGACCCAATTGATCCGATTTCCAATTCATCGCGCAGCCGCGAATACCCAAAAAATGGAATTTATGAACAGAAAATAAGTACTATTTAGCCTTTGGACGTTGTGACAACGAAGATATTATATTTGAGTATCTAGAGGCTGTTATACTTCAGAATTGATTGGGTCATTGTATGAACGCCATTTTTGCCAAATTTAAGAAGCTCACAACTAACATTTCATTCAACAGGTTACTAGTCCCAAATTTTAATTTACGTCATCAATATAGAATATTAAAGTATATTCCAGTTAAACGACTTAATAGATACATCAACTACAACAGTGTTTACGCTACTAATAACGACACCAACAATAACAAACTAAAGAATACCCTTGATAATAAATATAGGATGTCTGACGTAACAGAAGTAAAAAATTACTCTCAAATGCATCAGAAATTGGCCGACCACTTTAGAGGATTGAATTCGGTGGAGACCGCAGAACCCGGTAAGGTTACAGATTTCGTAAGATCGCACGAAGGTCACACTGTGATTTCCAGAGTTTTAATTGCAAACAACGGTATTGCTGCCGTTAAAGAGATCAGATCAGTCAGAAAATGGGCCTATGAGACCTTCGGCAACGAAAGAGCCATTCAATTCACCGTGATGGCTACTCCAGAAGATTTGGAAGCTAATGCGGAATATATTCGTATGGCGGACCAATTTATCGAAGTTCCTGGTGGAACTAATAATAATAATTATGCCAACGTTGAATTGATTGTGGAAATTGCTGAAAGAACTAATGTCCATGCTGTCTGGGCCGGGTGGGGTCATGCTTCAGAAAACCCATTATTACCAGAAATGTTGGCTGCATCCCCAAAGAGAATCTTGTTTATAGGGCCTCCAGGATCTGCTATGAGATCTTTAGGTGATAAGATTTCTTCCACTATTGTGGCCCAACATGCAGATGTTCCATGTATTCCATGGTCCGGTACTGGTGTTAGAGACGTTAAGGTCGATGAAGAAACTAACTTGGTTTCAGTTTCTGATGCTGTTTATGCCAAGGGTTGTTGCACAGGTCCAGAAGATGGTCTCGTTAAGGCAAAGGAAATTGGTTTTCCAGTCATGATTAAAGCCTCTGAAGGAGGTGGTGGTAAAGGTATTAGAAAAGTCGACAACGAGAAGGACTTCGTTGCCTTATATAAGCAAGCTTCTAACGAAATTCCAGGGTCTCCAATCTTCATCATGAAGTTAGCTGGTGATGCTAGACATTTGGAAGTCCAATTGTTAGCCGATCAATACGGAACCAATATTTCTCTTTTTGGAAGAGATTGTTCAGTGCAAAGAAGACATCAAAAGATCATTGAAGAAGCTCCTGTAACTATTGCCAATAAAGAAACCTTTCACGCCATGGAAAACGCTGCTGTTAGATTGGGTAAATTGGTTGGTTACGTTTCTGCTGGTACTGTTGAATATCTTTATTCGCACAGTGAAGACAAATTCTATTTCTTAGAATTGAATCCAAGATTACAAGTCGAACATCCAACCACTGAAATGGTTACTGGAGTAAATTTACCAGCTGCACAATTACAAATTGCTATGGGTATTCCAATGCACCGTATCAGGGATATTAGAACTTTGTACGGCGTGGACCCACACACATCCACCGAAATCGATTTTGAATTTAAGACCGAGAGTTCTTTAGTCAGTCAGCGTCGTCCTGTTCCAAAGGGTCACACTACTGCATGTCGTATTACTTCAGAAGATCCAGGTGAAGGGTTCAAACCTTCTGGAGGTTCTTTACATGAATTGAACTTTAGATCGTCTTCCAATGTTTGGGGTTATTTCTCGGTTGGTAATCAATCTTCTATCCATTCTTTCTCAGACTCCCAGTTCGGTCACATATTTGCTTTTGGTGAAAACCGTTCTGCCTCAAGAAAGCACATGGTTGTTGCCTTAAAAGAATTGTCTATTAGAGGTGATTTCAGAACTACCGTGGAATATTTAATTAAATTATTAGAAACTCCTGATTTTGAAGATAATACCATCACAACTGGTTGGTTAGATGAATTAATTTCAAAGAAATTAACATCCGAAAGACCTGATCAAATTGTTGCAGTTGTATGTGGTGCTGCAACTAAAGCCCATATACAATCTGAAGAAGATAAGAAAGAGTACATTCAATCTTTAGAAAAAGGTCAAGTTCCAAATAAAGCTTTGTTAAGGACTATTTATCCAGTTGAATTTATATATGAAGGATACAGATATAAATTTACAGCCACAAAATCATCTAATGATACTTATACGTTATTCTTAAATGGTACAAGAGGAGTTGTTGGTGTCCGTTCCTTGTCTGATGGTGGGTTATTATGTGCAATTGACGGTAAATCTCATTCTATTTACTGGAAAGAAGAACCTTCTGCTACCAGGTTATCTGTGGATGGTAAAACTTGCTTATTGGAAGTTGAAAATGACCCAACGCAATTAAGAACACCATCACCAGGTAAGTTGGTGAAGTACTTGATTGAAAGTGGTGAGCATATTAATGCCGGTGAAGTCTATGCAGAAGTTGAAGTCATGAAAATGTGTATGCCATTGATTGCCCAAGAAACGGGGTTGTTCAATTAATTAAACAACCTGGTTCAACTGTGAATGCTGGTGACATTTTGGCTATTTTAGAGTTAGATGACCCTTCGAAGGTTAAACATGCCATGCCATACGAAGGTACGTTACCTTCATTAGGTGACCCTGTCGTCAGAGGTACCAAGTCGGCACATGCTTTCCAATATTACACTAGTATTTTAAGAAATATATTAGCTGGGTTCGACAATCAAGTTATCATGAATTCAACTTTGAAAAGTTTGATTGAAATCTTGAAAAGTAAAGATTTACCATATTCAGAATGGAATCAGCAAGCCTCTGCATTACACTCGAGATTACCAATTAAGTTAGATGAAGCATTGTCAGCGTTGATTGAAAGGAACCAGTCGAGAAGTGCTGAATTCCCAGCTCGTCAAATTTTGAAGCAGATTCAAAAGTTCACTTCCGATCCATCAACTGATCCAAGCGTTCATGATGTGGTTAAACCATTAATTGATATCGCTACTAGATACGCTAACGGTCTTGTTGAACATGAATATGAATTTTTCTCTAAGTTGATTAACGAATACTATGAAATTGAAAGCCTATTCTCAGGTACTAATGTCCGTGAAGATGATGTTGTTTTGAAATTGAGAGACGAGAATAAAGCTGATTTAAATAAAGTTATTGGTATTGTTTTATCTCACTCGAGAGTCAGCTCGAAGAACAATTTAATTTTGGCTATTTTAGATGAATACCAACCATTATTGCAATCTTCCTCCAACATTGCTAATGGAATTAGAAAAGCATTGAAAGACATTGTTGAATTAGAAACTAGAGGTGCCGCTAAGGTCGCTTTGAAGGCAAGGGAAATGTTGATTCAATGCTCTTTGCCATCAATCCAAGAGAGATCAGACCAATTAGAACACATTTTGAGATCATCAGTTCTTCAAACTTCGTATGGTGAGATTTACGCTAACCACCGTACTCCAAGATTGGATATCATTCGTGAAGTTGTTGACTCCAAGCACACCGTATTCGATGTTTTGCCTCAATTTTTAGTCAATCAAGATGAATGGGTTTCTATCGCGGCTGCAGAAGTTTATGTTCGCCGTTCATATAGAGCATACTCCTTGGGTCCTATTACTTATGATTTCCATGATAAATTACCAATTATTGAGTGGAAATTCCAATTGCCAAGTCTTAATACATCTCAGTTGACCGCTGTTCAACATGTTCAGAATCCAGATCAACCTGCTATGAACCGTGCTGCATCTGTTTCTGATTTGTCCTTCGTTGTCGATCAAAACAAGGAACAAAAGACAAGAGTTGGTGTATTAGTTCCTTGTAGACATATCGACGATGTGGATGAAATGCTTACTGCTGCGATAGAAAAGATCCAACCTTCCGATGGAATCTCATTCAAAGCCAAAGAGTCGGAAGATTCTAAGGCGTCTTATTTGAATGTTTTCAACATCATTGTGACCAATATTGATGGTTACAATAGTGAAGAGGAAGTATTGGCCAGAGTTCATGAAATTCTTGATGAATTCAAGGAAGACCTCAAATCTGCTTCTATTCGTCGTATCACTTTTGTTTTTGCTAATAAGATTGGTGTTTATCCTAAATACTTCACTTTCAGTGCTCCTGATTATATTGAAAACAAGGTTATCCGTCACATTGAGCCTGCATTGGCATTCCAATTGGAATTGGGAAGATTAGATAACTTCGAGATCAAGCCAATATTCACTGACAACAGAAATATTCATGTTTACGAAGCGGTTGGTAAAAACTCACCATCTGACAAGAGATTCTTTACAAGAGGTATCATTAGAACAGGTGTTATTCGTAACGATATAAGTATTAGTGAATATTTAATCGCCGAATCTAATCGCTTAATGTCAAGCATTTTGGATGCACTTGAAGTTATTGATACTTCTAATTCTGATCTTAACCATATCTTCATCAATTTCTCTGCAGTGTTTAATGTTTTACCTGAGGAGGTTGAAGCTGCTTTCGGGTCATTCTTAGAGAGATTCGGTAGAAGATTGTGGAGATTACGTGTCACTGGAGCTGAAATTAGAATTGTATGTACTGATCCAAACACTGGTAATTCGTTCCCATTACGTGCTATTATCACTAATGTGTCAGGTTATGTTGTCAAATCCGAGTTATATATGGAAGTTAAGAACACGAAGGGTGAATGGGTTTTCAAATCAATTGGTTCCCCTGGTTCCATGCACTTGAGAACAATTTCCACGCCATACCCGGCAAAAGAATCATTGCAACCAAAGCGTTACAAGGCTCATAATATGGGTACTACCTACGTCTATGATTTCCCTGAATTATTCCGTCAAGCTACTCTTTCGCAATGGAAAAATCATCCAAAAGAGAAAGTTCCAAAGGATATTTTTACTTCTTTAGAATTGATTTCAGATGATAATGGTGACTTGACTGCAGTAGAGCGTGATCCAGGTAGTAACAAGATTGGTATGGTTGGATTTAAGGTGACTGCTAAAACCCCTGAATATCCTCGTGGCCGTCAATTTGTTATTGTTGCCAATGATATTACCCATAAAATTGGTTCATTTGGACCAGAAGAAGATGAATTCTTCAATAAGTGTACCCAATTAGCTAGGAAATTAGGAATTCCAAGAATTTATCTTTCAGCTAACTCTGGGGCTAGAATTGGTATTGCTGATGAGTTAGTCCCACTTTTTAATGTTGCTTGGAACGTTGAAGGTTCTCCTGACAAAGGATTTAGATACTTATATTTGAGTCCTGAGGATAAAAAGAGCATTGATGAAGCTGGGAAATCAAACACGATTGTCACCGAGAGAATTGTTGAAGACGGCCAAGAAAGATATGTTATCAAATCGATTGTTGGTGAAGAAGATGGTTTGGGTGTTGAATGTCTTAAGGGATCAGGTTTGATTGCTGGTAGTACATCAAGAGCCTACAAGGATATCTTTACTATTACCTTAGTCACATGTAGATCTGTTGGTATCGGTGCTTACTTGGTTAGATTGGGTCAAAGAGCTATTCAAGTTGAAGGTCAACCAATCATTTTGACTGGGGCTCCTGCCATCAACAAGTTATTAGGTAGAGATGTTTACTCTTCTAACTTGCAATTAGGTGGTACTCAAATTATGTACCGTAATGGTGTTTCCCATCTCACTGCCTCGGATGATTTGGCTGGTGTTGAAAAGATTATGGAATGGATGTCATACGTTCCAGCTAAGCGTGATATGCCAATTCCAATTTTGGAAAGCGAAGACAGTTGGGACAGAGAAATTGAATATATTCCACCTAAGGATGAACCTTATGATGTTCGCTGGATGATTGAAGGTAAACAGTTAGATAATGGTGATTTTGAATCTGGTTTATTTGATAAGAACTCTTTCCAAGAAACGTTATCCGGCTGGGCAAAGGGTGTTGTAGTTGGTAGAGCTCGTCTTGGTGGTATTCCAATCGGTGTCATTGGTGTCGAAACTAGAACTGTGGACAACTTATTACCTGCTGATCCTGCTAATCCAGATTCTACTGAAGTGATGATTCAAGAAGCAGGTCAAGTTTGGTATCCAAACTCTGCCTTCAAGACCGCACAAGCTATCAATGATTTCAACCACGGTGAACAATTACCTTTGATGATTTTAGCTAACTGGAGAGGTTTCTCTGGTGGTCAACGTGATATGTTTAATGAAGTTCTTAAGTATGGTTCTTTCATTGTTGATGCGTTAGTTGACTTCAAGCAACCAATTTTCACTTATATTCCACCAAATGGTGAATTAAGAGGTGGTTCATGGGTTGTTGTTGACCCAACTATTAATGCGGATATGATGGAAATGTATGCGGATGTTAACTCTAGAGCTGGTGTTTTAGAACCTGAAGGAATGGTTGGTATCAAGTATAGACGTGACAAATTATTATCCACTATCGAAAGATTAGACCCAACTTACAGAGATTTGAAAAAGCAATTAAACGAAAGTAAGTTGTCACCAGAAGAACACGCACAAGTCTCCGCCAAGTTAACTACTCGTGAGAAAGCATTATTACCTATTTATGCGCAGATTTCAGTTCAATTTGCTGATCTCCACGATAGATCGGGTCGTATGTTGGCCAAGGGAGTCATTAGAAAAGAAATTAACTGGCCAGAAGCTCGTCGTACATTCTTCTGGCGTTTACGTCGTCGTTTGAACGAAGAATACTTATTGAAACTTATTGGTGAACAGATCAAATCAGACAACAAATTAGAAAAGGTTGCCAGATTAAAGAGTTGGATGCCAACAGTTGACTACGAAGACGATATGGCAGTAAGCAACTGGATTGAGCAAAACCACTCTAAGTTACAGAAGAGAATTGACGAATTGAAACACGAATCGGCTCGTCAAAACTTAGTTGATATCTTGAAGGAGGACCCAGAAAGCTCGGTCTCTGTTATCAAAGATTTCTTATCTAACCTTCCGGAGGACCAAAGAGCCCAATTTGCTGCATCTTTAAAATAGATATTTAATATTGATTTTTAGTAAAGTAAACTAGAATTTTATTTGTTTTGTTATAATTTAATGTATATAAGCTTTTGAAACATTATGTAGATGCCGCAATGCCGCATAAAGTTGCACAAACAATTTTTTGCATCCTTTCCACATAACCAATTCATACTAACTCTACACGAGTAACTAAGTATATGGCTGTTCTTTTGTATTTCATTTAAAGTATGCTTCTAGTAAAGTACTTTTTCTTTGTCGCCTTATGTTACAACTCGATATTTATTGCAGCTGTTCCTTACCTTGTTTCGTTAAAATCAACCGAAACATTAGATACATTTTTTAAATATGACGTCAATTATCCTCTGAGTCAAAGAGTGAAAGCTTTAATTAACAACTCCTTTGCAATAGGAAACTTTACAGGTTTCTCGGGTGATTTTTCTAAGGCTGTATTAGATAGATTAAAAAAATGTCCTTTGGTCGCTGATTTAACGCCTGATATAATCATAAACGCTTTCGATGTAGGCGTTCAAACAAATTCCCCCAGACATTTAGCTAGACTATCCCAAAAGGAAAAGCTAACGGGAAACAAATTTAGCTATTATTACGATACATCTTGTACAGGTAATGGGGTGAATGCTTATGTGCTTGATTCGGGAGTTATGATTGATCACCCCGAGTTTCAAGGAAGGGCCTCCAAAGGCAAGGATTTCACCAAAGAAGGATTTGGGGACACAAATGGTCATGGAACGCATGTATCTGGAATTATAGGATCCAAATCATACGGTGTATCTAAAGATGTTAACATTATTGAAATTAAAGCTTTGGACAAGAGTGGCGCTGGCTCATTGAGTACTATAATAGCAGCGATTGAATTTGCAGTCAACCACAGAAAAATCAGTGGAAAGCCTGGCGTTGCCAATCTTTCTTTGGGAGCAACGAAAAATGCAGTTTTAAACAGAGCCGTTGATGCAGCCTTTGATACAGGTTTGGTGATGGTGGTAGCAGCGGGAAATTCCAATATTAATGCATGCATTACAAGCCCAGCTAGTGCATCATCTGCTATTACAGTAGGAGCTATAGATGATAAAACGGATGGATTAGCAACATTTTCTAACTGGGGAGAGTGTGTTGATGTATTTGCAAGTGGAACATTTGTAGAAAGCGTTAACACTAAAGACCACCGTTATCCGCAGGTGCTTTCAGGCACATCGATGTCGGCTCCAATAGTTACTGGACTAGTATCAAACTTATTGAGTAAAGGAATTTCACCTTACGATATAAAGGACCATATAATTGAGATGGCATCTAAGCATAAAATCAATAAAGCATCAATGTTCTTGCGGAGAAAAACCCCCAATAGGATAGCCTACAATCAAGTGTTCCAAGATTCAGATTCAGATGCTGAATCAGACTCAGAAGCAGAAGAGTAATATATAAAGGTATAGATATATTTATTGTTCAACTATTTATACAGTTAATTTTTAGCTGTCAATTAGCCTCTAAGGCATAAATCCTTTCTATCTCTTAATCAAGTAATAAAATAAGAGCTTATACTTCAGGAAATTATTTAAACACACTAGCTGAATTTTTTGAAAATGCAAAGGCAACATACCGAGTGCCTAGATATTTAAATCACTAATAGCGATTTGTAGGTTTCTAATAGCGTATTATCACCTAATTTATTCACATTATTAATTATTTCATCAATATGATTCGTATTACAAAACAGCAAAGACAATTGGTATCGACGTAATTTTGAAAATGTTGATATTAAATCATAGATTGTTGTTTCCCACTTATTTATAGCATTATGAGTCGAAACATAGGCTGCTGCTTCTATAAAGAATATTAAGAATTCCGAATCGATTCCAGTAGATTCAAAGACATCGTTATAATATTCAGGAGTTAAGGTGGTGATATATTTATATGCACCGATTTTCTGGTTTTTAGGTAATGTATTCAACATTGACAAAACTTGCATGGTTGGCATGTCCGAAAAAGAAGAGGAATTAGACAATTTAGGATTTGACTTCTCAGAATTATTATTTACTATTGGCTTATGACCAAATAATTCGTTAATTTCGTTATTCAATCGTTCTGTAGGTTTAGGGGGAATTAATTCATTACGTCTTTCAGCTTTTGCATTTAACAATACCAGAAATTCTTCCGGTAGGTTATTAACTTCTTTGATTGGTATTGCAATAGACGAACCCGACTGTAATTTCAACTTTTTATTGGGAGAATTTTCGATGGTTTTCAATTCATCTATAGCAGCTGTATTCTGTGGATCAAGATTCACCACCTCACTAAAGCATTTAAAGGCATTAGGTGTATCGCTGAGATTCTTAAGGACGATCCCTTGTCTATAAATTAGTTTGACTCTAGTATTAAGGTTAGGATTATGCGATAACCCATCTTTACAATCTCTTAAAGCTCGATCCCAATCTTGTTCTTTGATGAAACAAAGTGCCCGATTAGAGTATAAGACAGGATTTGTTGAATCTAATTTAATGGCATCCCTATATATTTTTGCTGCCTTTTTGAACTCTTTATTTGCGAAAGCTTTGTTTCCTTGCACCTTCAATTCGTCAGCTGTTGGCATTTTATTGGTGATAATAGTCTTCCTATTATTTAGATGCGATTTCCATCCAAATATTTTTTTGGCATAAGCTTGATTTGAATATTTTCATAAAAATACACACATATATATGACAGTCGAAGAACTACATGACGAGATTAGTGCCATTGATGCAATTTATCCCGACTCTACTTCTGAAGTTGCACCTCAGATCTATAATTTGAAAATCCCACAACATGATGGTTTGGAAATTCAAATGAGCTTTCTGGAGAGCTACCCCGATGAAATACCCAATGTTATCCAGATACTTAATAACAATACAAGAATATACACGGATACCAACTATTTAGAAACTCAAGTTAAGGAAACACTTTCAAACATATTTCGTAAGGGAGAAGTCTGTATATTTGAATTATTTACTGAGTTGGAGGCTATTCTTGAGAAGTACATAGGCAAAGAAGTAGAAAATGATTTGCAGAAAGATATGGGTGAATTAAAAATCTCTGAAGTTAGTACGGAAGAAAAGAACGAACTTGATAATAATAATAATCAAACAATTAAAAGTCTATCTTCGCAATCAAATTCTAAGACAGTCATAATAGATCCTTTAAAAGGGTGGATTCAATCAGATCCGATAATAGATAGAGGATCTACATTCATCGGCTACGCACGGAAGGTGAATTCAGTTGATGAAGCGGTAGAGTACTTAGATCTTTTAGTGACGGATAAAAAGATTGCCAAAGCCGCTCACAATATCAGTAGTTGGAGAATTAAGAAAGAAAACGGAATTCAATATCAAGATTGTGACGATGATGGCGAAACAGCAGCAGGCGGAAGAGTACTACACTTATTATCTGTACGTATTATTTTTCTCTTTCATGTCTCGAATGTATGACACGGCTTTCTATTGAAGGATATACTAACATTTAATTAGATGATGGATGTATGGAATGTTATTGTCGTGGTTAGTAGGTGGTTCGGAGGTACCCACATTGGACCCGATAGATTCAAGCATATCAATACAGCTGCAAGGGATGTAATTATTAAAGGCGAGTTTGTCAATCCTAATGTACAAAGTAATAATGCAAATAATGGAAAGAAGAAGAAAAAATGAATGCAAAATGTTCTAAACATTATTAAATCTTTTCCTTTTCTTCTTTATATCTGGAACATATTCATCCTTTTTGTCAGTCTTTCTTTTGGCGGATCCTTTATCTGTAGGCGTACTATTCTTTTTCCATAAGGATTCCAAGAAATCTTTAGTATCCAATTCTGACTCTTGATCAGGCTCATTGCTCTGTTCTTCACTTTTGTTATCGTTTTTCTTCGCATTTTTTCCCTGTTCATAGTTAGTAATTTGTCATTGCTCGAAAGACGTTGAAATATACATACTTTCCTCTTGGGTATAGAATCTTTTAGTTTTGTAATATCTAATTCCGTTTCTGAACCCTTTTTCAATTCTGGTTCTCCCCAAGTTTTTCTTCCTACATTTGCTGGCATTGGAGTATCATTAAGTTCCTCATCTTTTTCGTCCATTGAGAATGAATTTATGCTGGCATACCCTATAGATTGGATAACATTTGAAGACTGGTTTTTAGCTATAATCTTCGTAGAATTTGGTAATACCCATTCAGACATATCTTTAATTTTCTTCTGTTGCTCCGCTTTATTATTGTCTTCTTTATCACCATCTGTTTTCCGCATGAACTTCATGTTCATGACTCTGTCCGAAAGGCTACTCATGATGAATTTGTCGTTGTTTGATCTATAAAAGCATACTAGTTCTCTAGTATATACCAACAGATAATCTAATGTATAGTTTCCGGGTAACATGCAACATAATTTTTCAATTTTTTTCAGTAAAGCGAGAAGCTCATCACTTAAAAAAGATTTGGTATTTGATGATCTAGTTGGATATAAAGGTAATTAAGCCATTAGAATAGACTATAAACAAAGCATATACCAATGAAGTCCGATTTCAAGTTTTCAAACTTGCTAGGAACTGTGTATAGACAAGGAAATTTGGTCTACACCGAAGATGGCACTAAATTATTGAGTCCAGTAGGTAACAGAGTATCATGCTTCGACTTAATAAATAATAAGTCATTTACTTTTAATTATGAACATAGAAGAAATATATCCAGAATTGCTTTAAATAAGCAAGGAACGTTACTCTTATCGGTCGATGAAACAGGAAGAGCTATTTTAGTGAATTTTGTTTCGAGAACTGTGTTGCATCACTTCAACTTCAAAGATAAAGTATTGGATTTACAGTTCAGCCCTGACGGCCATTATTTTGCCATTGCATATAACAGATTTATTCAGGTATGGAAAACACCAGATTTCACTGAAGATCGACAATTTGCACCATTTGTTCGTCATAGAGTATATGCTGGCCATTACAGTGATGTTACATCCGTTACTTGGTCCAATGATTCCAGATTTTTCATATCGACATCCAAAGACATGACATCAAGAATCTTTTCATTGCTGTCTAAAGAAAAGGAAGTAGCGATGACTTTAGCGGGACATCGTGACTACGTGATTAAGGCATTCTTTAACGAGACTCAAGAAATTATATACACTATAAGTAAGGACGGTGCATTGTTTCAATGGGAATACACTGAAAGACCATCAGACGAATCAGATGAGGAGGAAGAAGAAAGCGATAGCGATAGTGAAATGAACGATGACGCAGTAAAGAGTCAAAAACCGATGAGTTGGAGAATCACTGCTAAGAATTTTTTCCATTCTAATGCGAATGTTAAGTGTGCTACATTTCATCCTAAGTCTAATCTTTTGGTTATTGGTTTCACTAACGGTGAGTTCAGATTATACGACTTACCTGAGTTCAATATGATTCAGCAATTAAGCATGGGACAAAATGCTGTGAATACCGTAAATATCAATAAGACTGGTGAATGGCTAGCCTTCGGATCTTCAAAACTTGGTCAATTGTTGGTTTATGAATGGCAATCTGAATCATATATTTTGAAGCAGCAAGGTCATTTCGATTCTATGAATGCATTATGCTATTCTCCTGATGGTTCCAGGATAGTTACCGCATCTGATGATGGAAAAATAAAGATTTGGGATGTTGCGTCTGGCTTCTGTTTAATGACTTTTCAAGAACATACATCTTCCGTTACAGCAGTTCAGTTTGCTAAGAAAGGTCAAGTATTATTTTCTTCTTCATTAGATGGAACAATCAGAGCATGGGATTTAATTAGATTCAGAAATTTCAGAACATTTACAGCAACTGAAAGAGTCCAATTCAATTCATTAGCTGTCGACCCAAGTGGTGAGGTTGTTGTTGCAGGATCTCAAGATACTTTTGAAATATACGTCTGGTCTGTTCAAACAGCACAGCTCTTAGACTCATTGACAGGGCATGAAGGTCCGATTTCATGCTTAGCTTTTGGTACCGAAAATTCGGTATTAGCATCGGCATCATGGGATAAGACAATCAGAATTTGGAATATTTTCAGTAGATCACAACAAGTGGAACCAATTGAAATCCAATCAGATGTGTTAAGTATTGCATTGAGACCCGATTCAAAAGAAGTATCAGTATCTACTTTAGATGGACATATAACCATTTGGGATGTAGAAGACGCAAAGCAGTTGCACCTTATAGATGGTAAGAAGGACATTATTGGGGGAAGATACTTAGAAGATAGATTCAGTGCCAAGAATCTGGCTAGGTCAAAGTACTTTACTACCTTGAACTACTCCTTTGATGGTTTATCATTGGTTGCTGCTGGTAACAATAATTCTATTTGTCTTTATGATATTTCGAATGAAGTTTTATTGAAACGATTCACTGTATCCCAAAACATGCAATTAAATGGTACGCTAGGCATGCTTAACAGTTCAAGAATGACTGAAGCAGGGTCTCTTGACCTCATTGATAGAGATGGAGAAAATTCTGATTTGGAAGATAGAATAGATACTTCATTACCTGGGTCTCATAAAGGTGATCCAAGTGCTAGAAACATCAGACCAGAAATTAGGGTTACATCGATATCGTTTTCACCTACCCTGTCAGCATTTGCGGCTGCATCTACCGAAGGATTATTGATCTACTCGGTTGACAATACATTAATATTCGATCCATTTGATTTGGATATCGATATTACTCCTGAAGCCACAATTGAAGTGTTGAATGAAAAAGATTACTTGACAGCTCTTGTAATGGCCTTCAGATTGAATGAACAATACCTCATCCATAAGGTATATGAATCAATACCCATCAAAGATATCAAGTTGGTAAGTAATGACTTACCTATCGTGTATCTCGACAGAATGTTACAATTCGTAGGTAAGCTTTCGTTGAACTCACCGCATTTGGAGTTCAACTTGCTTTGGGTTCAAAACTTACTCACAAGCCACGGGAAATATATCAACAACAATAAGAGTGACTTTACCAGCTCATTAAGGTTACTTCAGAGATTCCTCGCTAGAATTGCTAAGGATATTGTAAGCATATCCAAGAAAAACGGATACGCCTACTCTTTCTTAACCACGAAGCCAAACGTCCAAGACACTGAAGGCGAAGAGGAAGAAAATTCTGAGGAATTTGAAACGGCACAAAATATACAAATCGACGGCAGCGACGATGAAAATGGCATAATAGAAGACGAAGACGACGAAGGATGGTTCGGTATCGAAGAGAAGAATACCAAATCCGACGTCTTTAACTCTAACGAATCCGATTCAGATTCAGATTCAGATTCAGATGAGCCAATGGAATGATTAAAAAGCATCAGCAACTAAATACATCTATATATACATAATATCAATCTAATTTGTACTTCTACATGTAGACCTGCATTTTCTGAGTCAACTCCGTGAACGCAGTAGTTCTTCCTTTTTCTACATATAGTGCGCCTGACGGCTGCATTCCGAATCTCGCTAGTCTTAAAATGGTTTAGTCTAAGTCGCCTCATTTTCAGTCTATCATAAGCTGTTACAATAGCTAGCAATATCAACGCCATAAACACATCAATATAAGAACGATCTTCGTGTTATCTACAATAATGCTTCTTGTGTAAAATTACCTATTAAGCTACGTAACCCTCCCCCGCATGGAATAAACTGGCCAACTTAAATTGAACACTCTGGAAATTAAACATCATATTAATCCGACCGACCACCCTAATTATCCGATCTGTACCCCCAATCCTCACCACTACCGCCTGTCATTTTATTATTTCCTACCTACTAACTCAATTAGTAACCCAATTTGGCCTATAGTCAACAACGAAAAATTATTGCCTCCACTCCCCCACTTTATGTCCCAATATTGCCCTGCGGTGCTTATGTACGTATTATTTGCACTGTTCCCCATCCCTAGCCTCTATTCGGCCTGGTGTTGGCCATTTTTAGTATGCAATGTGCACTCATATCTCAGAATAGGTAATGTACCTGGTAGAGAACCTCTCTTGTCTCCGATAAACCTCTCAGACACCACTTTTTCGCTATTTTACGAGATACTCACATGAATATGTGAACCAGCGATGCACAAGCTGAGTAACTTACTCAGACCTTTTGTCACTTTACCTTAACATATATGCCATATTTCTAACTACCAAGCACCATATCCCCCCAGGAATGAACGGAATGCCTATTGTAATATATATACGCCTCGAGGCCATAAGATAGCTTCTTCTTTCACAGTATTCGTAGATTCCTCAAGGGAGTACTGCATATACTCTGATCATTCACTAACAAGAGTTACCCACATAATTTCAGCTCTTTTGCTTGCAAAATAACGGACCAGAGGGGGGGGAATTGTTGAATAAATTCTAAGATTTACTGAAATATTGTTTACAGAACGTCGACGAGTTGTTCATTGGTAAATTTTATCATTATAAGTATATAAAGCAAGAACTAAGGGTTTTTGATAGTAGCCCGTTTATTGATTGCAGAAAAAGGGATTATGACTAGGGACATTAAAAATCATTTACTTTTCGAAGTGGCCACAGAAGTGGCACACAAGGTTGGAGGGATCTATTCGGTGTTGAAATCGAAGGCTCCTATCACCGTTGCGGAATATAGAGAACGGTACACGTTGATCGGGCCATTGAACTATAATTCTGCCCAAATTGAAGTGGAAGAATTGCCAGTCAAGGATCCATTGGTCATGAAGGCATTGGATTCTATGAGTGAGAGGGGAATCAGATGGTTATACGGACGTTGGTTGATCGAAGGGGCACCTAGAGTGTTATTATTCGATATCCATTCGGCAGGAAACCATCTTAATGAGTGGAAGGCAGACTTGTGGAATATTGCGGGCATTCCAATTCCAGATCACGACCAAGAGAGTAACGAAGCTATCTTATTGGGGTACTTAGTCGCTTGGTTCTTAGGAGAATTAGTTTTCCACGATCGTGAAAGGGCTGTTATTTGTCATTGTCACGAATGGTTGGCGGGTATTGCCTTGCCATTGTGTCGTAAGAGAAGAATTGATGTCACTACAGTTTTCACTACACATGCTACTTTGCTCGGAAGATACTTATGTGCTGGATCTACCGATTTCTATAACAATTTAGCGAATTTCGATGTGGATGCCGAAGCGGGAAAGAGAGGTATTTACCATCGTTATTGTATTGAAAGGTCAGCGACACACTCGGCAGATGTTTTCACGACCGTTTCTCATATCACAGCTTTTGAGTCCGAACATTTGTTGAAGAGAAAGCCCGATGGGGTCTTACCAAACGGGTTGAATGTGGTCAAGTTCCAAGCAGTTCATGAATTCCAAAACTTGCATGCCTTGAAGAAAGAAAAAATCAATGAATTCGTCAAAGGTCACTTTTATGGAAATTACGATTTCGATTTGGACAATACTTTATACTTCTTTATTGCTGGTAGATACGAATTTAGAAATAAGGGATGTGATTTTTTCATTGAAGCTTTAGCTAGATTGAATCATAGATTGAAGGAAGCAGGCTCAAAAATGACCATTGTCGCCTTTATTATCATGCCTGGTAAAACCAATTCTTACACTGTTGAAACTTTGAAAGGTCAAGCTGTTATCAAGCAATTGGAAGGCACTATCGAAGAAGTACAAAAGAAGGTCGGTGAAAGATTGTTTGAACATTGTGCTAGATTCCCAAATAATCATTCGACCACAACTACCAATGGAAATGAGGTTCCATCTATTGATGATTTAATTAAACCTGCTGATAGAGTTTTATTAAAGAGGAGAATCTTTGCTTTGAAAAGAGATGGCTTACCACCAATTGTCACCCACAACATGACCGACGATTCCACTGATCCTGTGTTAAACCATATTAGAAGGGTTCAATTGTTTAACAAACCGGATGATAGAGTTAAAATCATTTTCCACCCAGAGTTTTTGAATGCTAATAATCCTATTTTATCATTAGATTACGATGAATTTGTTAGAGGTTGTCATTTAGGTGTTTTCCCATCATATTACGAGCCTTGGGGCTATACTCCCGCCGAGTGTACCGTTATGGGTGTTCCTTCTATCACTACTAACTTGTCAGGGTTCGGATGTTATATGGAAGACCTTATTGAAAATACTTCTGACTACGGTATTTACATAGTTGATAGAAGAATGAAGGCAGTCGATGAATCCATCAACCAATTGACTGATTACATGTTCGACTTTGCCGAAAAAACAAGAAGACAAAGAATTAACCAAAGAAATAGAACTGAAAGATTATCAGACTTATTAGATTGGAAGAGAATGGGTTTGGAGTACATTAAGGCCAGACAATTGTCTTTGAAGAGGGCTTATCCTGATAAGTTTAAGAATGGAGCTAATCCTTTCAACAATACTTCTAACTTAAAATTAACCAGACCATTATCTGTTCCAGGTTCACCAAGAAGTAAAGCCGGTCTCATGACTCCTGGCGATTTGGGCTCTTTACAAGAAGCTCATCAATCTTTAAATACAGATGACTATATTGGATTTAGATTAGGTGAAAATGAAGAAGACGATGACACTGAGGATGCTAGTGTTTATCCGTTAACTTTGAGAGGTAATTCAGTTCCACTTACTGATGACGCTACCTAATGTATTTGGTTCCTATTCTACCCAATATGTTACCAGTATAACTGGTAATTGAAAAGTATATATTTCTTTCTATTATTTGTGTTTCTTTCGCTTCATATAGTGTTCATTTACTTCAATTCTACGCTTCTTTATATACTTTAAATCATTAATAAATGTAACTGTATTAAATATCAATAGAGTAGTGCGTCCACCCAATTTGATTTTCAACATCGGAAATTTGCTGGATTAACATAATGAAAAGTATCAGCATTAACAGAGCAAGAGGTTCCAAATATAAGCATCAAACAATCATATTATGGTATGTGTAATAGTAATGAAATTGAATTTAAGGAATATAATATTTTTAAGGAGAATTCTAACACATTTTTTAGTTACCATTATATTTGTTGACATCGGCTAAAAACCAACCTATTTTGGTGGAATTAAAGAATGGGGAGAGTTTAAATGGGCAATTAGTTAACTGTGACTCATGGATGAACTTAACTTTAAAGGATGTAATTCAGTCATCTTCGAATGGTGAGACTTTTGTCAAATTACCAGAATGTTATATCAGAGGTAATCATATTAAATATTTGAGATTACCAGAAGAGGTATGTATAAATGGAAGAACCATATGGAAGATCGTACATATTGTAGTAAAATGTACGGTTATATTCTCATGAATGATGATTTGTGGAATGCTTTACTAACAATTATTAGATTATGGATTACGCCAAGGAACAAAATATCTTAAATATGGAACAAAGAAACAGAAATCAAAGGAGAAGAACAGGAGGAGGAAATTACAACAACAGGAGAAACTATAATAATCAAAATAATAACAGAAATGGTGGTGGATACAATAACCGTCGTCAGAATCAAAACCAAAATCAAAATCAAGGTCATAATTATAGTAGTCATGGTCATGGACAAGGCCACGGACAAGGTCAAAGTCATGGTGCTAACCAAAGCAAATTTTAGTTAAGATTATTTAAGGAGTTTTCCAATCATTAATGATGATGAGGTTTACGATTTAACAAATAGATTGTGTACTATAATATTACGTGAATTTTTTTTTTAATTCAAACAATTATAAATGCTTGATATTATGCTGAGCTTGTGTAGTCTGTTAGTATATGGTCTTTGCAATCGTTCATTTAACAACAAAAATTTTTGTGTGAGGAAAATATACCACAGAACCCCGGGTGCAAAAAAAACTATGTTTGATGCCATACTAATTATTTCGAAATCAGTTACGTTGCTAACATATATTTGCTTGCTTTACTTCTGATGAATACTTTCAAGCCTGAACTGTTGAATTACCGCCTGTCGGAGAATTGTGTAGGTATTAAAGTCACAAACAGCAATTGCGAAGAAATCAAATCCAATGAATCCTATCTTCCAAAAACTCCTTTGATTCCTCTAGGTAAATTTAAGGGAAAATATGATACTAGAAAATTTAGATGTTATAAGAAGCTGTGCCATCAATCCAACTTCAAGAACTGTCAACATTGTAAATATTTACCATATACTTCATCACCTTTAAAAAACCGGGATTACTACTGCGAAAATATCGAAATAAGAGAACCAGAATTGAACTCATATCAGAGAGAAAAGTTACAGAGTGATGCTTATAGTATCGAAAGTAACTTAGTTTGTTTATTGAACGGTGTCATGGATGATTATGTGGCTGATCAAAAGGACCAAACCAGCAGCTTAATCTTAAAATCAGAAAATGTTTTCTTGGATTACTACTCTATTCATTTTCCTTCAATTCTGAAATATGCAAGTACTCAGCAAATAGAAGGGGCAAATGTTGATAAAGCTTTGAAGCATTTGTTTAAAATTACAAACAGAATTAGATCATTGGCATTGATATCGTCTTTGCGTCGTTAAATAATTAAGTGGAAAATTATATAGTCATACATATATATATATACAGAACTGTCGATCGTCTGTTTTAGCTTCAAGGACGAATGTCACTTATAGTCCAACTCCGTAAATCTTCTCTGAAAGTGGCCTCATTAATTAAACCATTGATATTTCTTATACTGTCATCATCATTATTATCATCCGACCAGTTGTTGTAATTCTGAGAAACAGCTTTGCTCCATCCATCTCCATCATTATCAAATATATCACTAATGCATTCCTCAGGTGTAAATTGTAATAAATCCTGCAATTCCGGATCCCAGGTAGACTCAAGGATCTTCTTGTACAAATTACTCACTATTGGATCCATCATGACATTAGCACTCCTAGCCCCATTAACTAAATTAGTGGAGCTAATTACATTAGTTCCATGTTCGCCACTAGAACGTGGTTTAGAAGTGGTAGATTTGTTATCAAACATGCTTGATATAGGACAATGTTTCTGTTCTACTTGTAATTGCTTATCAGAATCATCACTTGGTAAAGATGATACAGACAGATTGGCCAGTGGCGAAGCATCGGATGACTTTATAACATCGTTAAGACCCCCGAAGATTTTAGTCCGCTCTAAATTTGGCGCATTATATTTCGTATTTTTGCTCGAGTTTATTCTATTTTGTAACTTTGAATTGGATCTATTCAAAGAGCTGGACGTGGGAGTATGCCCTCCCTCGTCATTGATTTGTAACTGAGTGTGGAAGTCTAAGTTATCTGGCAATTCACTTAAGAAAACAGTTAAATTCAAAATTGAATTAACTTTAGAGTTGCTCATTAGATATTTCGAAGTAAATGGCTCCTCAACGTTTATGTATTCCGATAAATTGAGCTCTAGTCTACCCAATTCTATTTTATGTCCCCGATGTGACACAATCATTTCATGCTCTTTATGTTTTACGTCTTCTTCGCTTACATAGTACACCTTCATAAGCAAATATTTGCTGGAAATTCGATTATCCTTCTTCTTGACTGAGAATTTTAAATTGCAATTCATGTTAAAATTAAATTTACACTTAAAATTATGAATCTTTTTCATAGATGTCGATGCAGACACATCACTGGACGAATATGGCCCTTCGAACTTATCTAATGATGAAGTTGAATTGCCGCTTTGATTTGAAGAACTCTTAAGCGAAAGGTGAGGTCTTTTTCTTTTACCGTCCTTTACTTGAACATCAATGTAGCAATAGCCGTTTACCTGCGGTATATTAGATATCTCATGGACTGATAAGTCTAGGTTAAACCTAGGTTTCTTTGATGACGAGAACATCTCTTGATGAAGAGCAAATGCCATTTTTAATTTAACTCGAAACGGAATTTTATGTCGCGGTTGAAAATCAAAATTCTGTTTATCGATAGACGAGTTAGTTGAATTATCAATAAGACTTGCAGTTACCAAAGATAATACATACCATTAGGAGATGTCGCTCGCAATTCTGCATTCTGATACTACTCAGGCTTTTCAATCACTTTCCCTCTCGATTCCTGTGGATACTGCAAAGTATAAAAAGATGTACTTATTTTTATCGAAAGTTTTGAATGTATCTGACGAGAATGTTATTCTAGAGACTGAGGAACAAGGTAGACAGTATATCTTGAACAAAGAACCTATAGAGGTATTATCTAGGGTTTATTTACCGCATGACACTTGGCTCAAAGGAGAGGTTACGATCAAAGATATAAAAATAAAATCCAATATGTTATTAGAGATCAACAATATGATTGAAAAGGAATTACCTCGAACAATTGACGAAGTTGTGCAAATCGATGACAACGTTTTAAATTATTATGAAAAACTACTCACTGCGTTTAAAGTGTACGAAATCCCTTGTAACGATACTGAATCACGTCATAATTCAATAGATGATTCATTGAGGGAAGAGGAAGAAGAGGAAGATACAAGTATTTATGATTCAAATGAAATCAGCCGGACTCAGACAAATGTTTCCACTGCATCGCTGAAAACAAGACTTTCTATCTTCAATGGCTATTCAAGCAGAAGAAATTCTTCGATGTCAACGAAGAAACGAATTCTGTCCAATGCCGGTCAAGCAAATGACAATGACGTGAATAGTATGCTAAATTCCAGTGGCCCCATAAAGAATGAAGAAGAAAGAAAGCAAGGTCTCAATAATATCTTAGCAAAATCTAGAATTTATAATAAATTAAAAAAGCATCGTCTGACGGGCTCGGTGACATCAAACATCTCGTCGCCTTCTAGTACGCCATACAGCAATAGAAATAGCATAGGCACAACTATGACAAATAACTCATATAATTCAAAAAGAAGAGGAAGTTCATCGCTTGCATCTCCGGAAATAACTGAAGGTAGGATATTAAACATACCGTCTCCGAAAGAGAATCAGCCTATAATATTGACCTCTGTTCAAAAGCTGGAGAATCAAAGGGACAAATTTGAATATTATTCGCAAATGAAAAGACTCAAGTTTTTAACGAGAAGAGTTATAAAGCACTTGGATCATTCGCAGGAATCTTATGATTTAGTCAAAATTCTTGAATTCGTTAATAAATGCGTGGTGAAATTTATATTCATTGATATTAGTCAAATGATTATACTTTACGGCCAGAGGAAGGCTTATAATTTCCACCATAAGCACTAGATGATTAATGTCAAAATATTTATTTATTTATGTATATGTATTATTATTATTATTATTATTTAATTATCCCATAATTCCGTTAACCCTGAAATTGATTTATATAAGTATTGGTATCACTTGCATGTACTTAACATTTGCAGGATAACACTTAGTAATTGATCATTCTCGCAGGCCGCTGCAACTCTTTCTTTATCGTTTAATTGCTTATTTACTTGGTTTTCGGATTGATGTGTACCTTCTTTAATAAGAATAATGATCCTAAATCGAGGGGGAAGACACCTCTCTAACCTTACTCTGATCCCTAATCCAATAAGTGTAGCCAATGAACAATGCGTAATAGTTGGCGTTATTTTGATTAAAATTTCGGAAATATCTGTCTGCTTATTCGCTCCATGCGTTACTTTAATATCTGCCAAGTTAACCACTGCTAACTGGGCTAAGGTTAATGGATGTTCTGGATCTGAAATTGTAGAAATTAAATCAAATATTTCTTGTGCATCGATCACTTCCTCCTCTTCTTGGTCATCAACATCATCGATTAGCTCTTCCTCCATGGAGGATGTGTCCGCTTCAGCATCAGAGATCAAATCTGGCACTGACCCGCTATCAATATGGCTTAAATTACTTTGATTCAATAGAGAGAGTGATAATATTTTATCCACTAATTCTGTATTCCTAGCAACCTCTTTCTCCTGGATTTCAGAATCATCAAATCTTGTAGGCAAATTTGAAACATCAATAACAGTTGGATTAGCATTTATAACGTCTGACATAGTTCCTTTTACTGGTAGTATGACAAGCTAAAGAGAAAGTTTATTCTATTAAATCATAGAATTTATAATCCACATTTATTTAATTTTCGAAGTATCACAAAATTTACGGTCTTTCTTTATCAAAGTTCTACACCTTATACGTAAATAGAAAAGAGATAAGACAATGGAGAATTATAATTCGTTATTTCTTCAGCAATTAGTGCCTCTTCTATTTTTTCAAACTGAAGGGTCATCTGAAGTTGTGTTGAAGTTGATTAAAACACTTGATCAATTCAATATTAAAGATGCCATTTGGGACAATTCCATTATTAAAAATAGGCTACTGAATATCAAATATAGAATTAAAGTAATTGAAACACTTGAGTATCAATTACCACAAGGAATTAAAAGTAGTACTGAAGAAGATGAACATTCTATTCTATCACCATTTAATATGAAGTCTGAACTTTTTCCCAACGGTATATTATCTTATAAATGGTTTAAAAAGTACATAGAGGATATTCCATTTGCAAGTATAATGACATTCAGCTTGGGTCAGACTTCAGAGAGTGATAACGAATTGATAGACCGAATTAATTCCTTCAAAAATGCATATCAAGAAAGTCGTGTTAGCCTTGTTGTTATAATTATTTCAGACTCAGAAGACATTAATGCAGACGACGATCGGATTCACAATTTAAGGCAGGCAACAGGGCTTCCAAAATTGACGGGTTTAATTTACTTGAATACTTGTCCTGATACAATTGGTCGTGACATTGAGATATTGGTTTCAAGCGTATTATCTAACTTAAAAGCTGTTGCCGTGGATTTCTACTCAAGCATAGAGAATAAAGTTAGACAACGACACAAGAAATATTACTCGTGCCCTTCCACTTCAAGTATTGATACTAAAATAGAACTCACTCCTATTTTTCTTGAAACCCGTAACCTTATCAAACAGGGTATGCTTAATCAATTATCACACCCACACAATTTAGAGACAAGTTTAAAGTTTCTCGAATATGCATATCAGGATATCATCGAATTATCTAGGGATAATTTTACTAATATTATCAAGGAAGACTCAATTTCCCGTCACGATTTGGAATTATATGATCAATTTAGAACTTTAATTGATGTTATCGCATTTCATATAGTCAGAGGTTACTTATCGTTAGAAGAACCCATTTTAGCCTTAAAAAAGCATAAAGCTCATATTATAAACGTCTTAGATGCTTTTAATGGTGGTAATGGAGATAATAATAATTGGATATCAATTCAATACCAATGGTTAGGTGAATTAATGACGTTGATACCAGGATCAATTTTGAATTCATTAAATTTAAAGGGATACAAAAAGAAATCGAAAAATTCGAAAGTATTTAAGATCTTTGGCGGCGTGCAATTTTATGAAACTCATGACTACGATTTGATAACAAGCCCTGAGTTTGTGTTCATGAAGTCTGCCGAGTACTGTACTGGAACATCCGGAAAGAATATCAAGTTGAAGTATTTGAATAACTCCGATGATTTAGAAACAGTATCCAAACGGAAAATTATGCTTCTTTTAAATGCAAAAGATTGCTTACAAAAAGATGATTCTCATAAGAGTTCTTCTGACGGTCATTCTAATTTTGGAAGTATGTGCCAGTACATTAGCTGGTTAATAGCAAACGAATATTCAAAGTTGTCAGACGAAGCATCACTATCGAAAGCAATTGAGTATTATGAGTTATGCTTATCCGAAGCACAATTTGGAAATGCTAGAATTTCCCAAATCATACTTCAGAATTTATTAAAATACTACTCAAAGAGTAAGAACATTAGGAAGATGCTAGCTACAGTTTTAAAATTATCGGGCTTGTCATTTCCAGGCGGCAATGTACCTATTCAAATCAATCTAAATGATTTGGGTTCAAAGGAAAGTGATTTACATGAACTAGATACTAATGATATTCAATTAGTTGATGTTGATGCTTTACTTCTTAGTGAACAGTACAACAAATTGGGACCCAATGAATGCTCCCTATACGAATCTTGTGTTAGCCAAATAACCTTCAAACCTCTCATAAATCTACAGCATTTAAAAATGATTCTTTCAGAAGGAAGCGATGAAGCCCAAGTCCGTTTATCGATCAAAAAGTGTGAAGTAAAATTTCATAAACAAGGAGAGCATTCAGACCCATGTGCGTATAAGGATGTCGTTATAACCCAGAATTCTACTCTCCCATCTGATTTCTTGCAGACTGTAGAAGTTCTTGAGAAAGGAAATAAGTTTGGTGGAGAATTTAACATCAGTTTTACTGATTCTGATGACAGAAATGCCTCTAAGGTTTTTCAATTTTCACAAGTTTCCCGAAGAGCAGGTTCGTACATGATAGGATCTATCAACTTAGAAACCGAAATCAGCATATCAAATTCAGGAAAGGAATTAAAGTTAACTGGAAAAAATAGCATAGCATTGGATGATGGAAATTCTGCAAATGTTTCACATCATAAATTTATGTACTCTACTACAAAGGAATCAAGGCTACAAAAAACGGCAGTTAGAATGTATAGTCAAGCACCTCATGTAATCAGAGTATTACCCTTAAAACCAGACGTGACCATTACGATGGAATCTTCCGTGGTAAATTCAATTATTGTGGGTGAGAAGATTTCAATACCTTTCCGAATTCAATACAAGAGCCCTAAGAATCAAAAAGTTGCTTATAAAAATATTCTGTTAGCACCGAAGGTCAAAATAATTTCTGACGCACAGGATCAAGGTTTTGTTTCTCCATTGACTACTCAAGTTAATTGGGATGAATTGAAAGACGATGAGCCTTTGAGTTTAAAATCCTTAGTGTCAAGCGATGAAGAAACTACAACACATAATTTGAACATTAGCATCCTTAACTCGTCTATAAATGGTGACGATAATTCTAGCATCTTGAATAATACGTTTATGGCGTCAATTGATCTTAAGACTTTAGTAAGTGAGGAGGGAGAAGATAACAGTGAAGAAAATAGTTTGACTATATATGATACTGCTGATTATACATTGCCAGTTATAACCCGTCCGTTTGATTGCAAATTTAGCATTAGTCCAAGGTATAGAAATGAAGATGCAGTTGATATGCCATGCCCATTTATTCTTTCTCCAGATTCTAAAGACTCAAATTCTCGTGACAAGACAAGTAATTATTCAATGCCTATTGCTACAAGGTTATGGATGGGAAAGCTATCGTTAGTGGACAATCTTGCTCAATCGAATAAAGAAAGTGAACTTCAAATTGAAGAGGCAAAGTTTAGTATTAAATCAAAAAATTCCGAATTAATCGTCGAAACAATAGACCAGGAACACAGGATAAATCAAAATGACATAACTCAGCTATTCACTACGAGAAGCAAAAATGGATTTTCTCATCGAAATGTGATGGTTAATGCTTCTGTTAATATTAAATGGAAAAGGAAAGATAAGGAAATTATTAATGAATTTAAGAGCATAGAATGGCAAATAGTGTTGCCATTATCCGACCCACGAGTCTTATTGTCGTTGGAGTTCAAAGAGACCAAGATGGCGAAATTCAAATACATCATTGAGAACCCTACCCCCAGAATCTTCATGTTCACCACTCAATTGAGCACGGAGGAGATCAATGACGATATCGAGTGGCAATTCGAGGACGACAGAAATATAGTGCCATTGAAGCAACCAGCATTCCCCGTGTTGCCGTTCAATAGAAATATCATTGAATTTTACGCTAAACTCACCAACAACACGAGCCAAGACCTCATCGCACTCCCACAATTCAAAGTTTACGATGTCCACTACAAAGTCACATTGCCCACTCTTGCCGTGTGTGAAAATGTCGTGGTCAAAAACAACAATTCACTCTACTGGCAGCTCAATGGTCAGCCTACCGCCCTGTCTCTTCGCTAACATATATTCATATATAGATTTGTATACATCGCTTTCAGCACTCTAATTAACGTTCAACAATTCAACGTCGAAAAGTAAGGTAGCGTTAGGTGGAATCAAACCTGGGAATCCTCTGTCCCCGTAAGCTTCATGGCCTGGAATTGTCAACTTAGCACGAGAACCAACAGACAATTTAGGGATACCAGTGTCCCATCCAACAATCACTTGACCAACACCAATTGTGCATTGGAATGGCTTACCTCTGTCACGAGAAGAGTCAAATTTCTTACCATTTTCTAAAGTACCGGTATAGTGGATAGTGACTAAATCACCTGGCTTTGGGAAGGTCTTTCCATCACCTTCTTGCAAAATTTCAACTTGAGTAGTAGCAGGAGCGGACATTTTTAATGAATTGGAGAAAGATCTAGCTTGATTCAAATAAGTCGTAGAAATTCTAGTATTAATTTTAGGATAACCTACGGTTTGCTTGATAAAATTTAAACTAGAAGGACGACAAATAAACATTTAAAGAATCAATTGCCGTTTGACAAGGAAAGTCGACAAGGAGAGAGCAAGATTTATGAAGATATTTATATACAGGACACCAACAAAAAAGATATCTGGCGGCTTTAGGAATGATAACAAGGGCTATCAAAAATAGTAAGAGAGAAACTGTTAATATACCTGAAGGATAGCTGTTATGGATAAATAAGACGATAAAATGGGATCTAGTGATGTAAAAATTGAAATTGACCGTTCTTCAACGGGAGGAACGTTCACAAATTATGATATAATTAAGGGCACAGTTAGATTGATAGTGACTAATTCTATTACACTCAACTATATTCAGGTGAAGCTCGAAGGGGTTTCTAAATCACAGCTCAGTATTCCCCGAGACCAGAGGGATAGCGGTAGGCGTGATAGAGGGAGAAAAGACCGAGATAAGAAGGAAAAGTTGCTTCAGGATGTGCATAAAGCGTTGTACGATACAGTGATTGTTTTTCCTCCTGACAACGTAAGACAAGTTTCACAGGCAAAGGACTTCACTTTAACGCCCGGTAACTATAGTTATCCGTTTGAATTTAAACTTCCGTTGAATAATTCTTGCGTGCAGCTCCAAGGGATCACGAATAAGGTGCTGTTCAACAAGAAGAATTTTGATTTGATCATCAATAATGGAAACTTCAATGCCAACACAATTAGGAATATGGCCCAGCAGTATAATCAACCTGTGAAAGGAGGGGGTGCGTCACAGAAACACCGTGACTACCATATTGTATCCCAGCTTCCGCCATCGTTGAGTGGGTTGGGGGAGTTTGCTAGTATTAAGTACTACGTGAAAGTGACATGCAAACGTTCATCATTCTTTAAAACCAATTTGCGGTCTGTAGATCCGTTTATTTTCTTACCGTTAGATTTGGATAGTCAGAACCAGCCGTTGGTCCACGGGGGTGATTACGAAGAGTACAGAGAGGTTTTTGTGAGGAAAGAAATGATGTTTTCCGATAGAATTCCGGAAATAGTGGGCCTTGTTGTGCCCCCAGAGAAGAAACCACTCCCGCAAGCCCCTACACCATCGGGGTCGGCATCACGGAAAGGGTTTTTGCTGCGATTCATGAATGGTCCTTCTTCTGCACCACCGAGTTCATTTACTTCCCTGGATACACGAAAGAAGAACGATCTTGTGGGCGTGGAATCGAAAGACGTCCCATTTTCGTTTGAAGTTAGGTTTAGACATCCAGCATTTTTGATTCCCACCAAATCACCGTCGTTTAAGTTATACTTCGTATCGAATCTAAAGCCTTTAAGGTATTCTTTGGCGCAATATGGAAAACCTGAAGAAAGTAACGGGTTAGGAGTAATATATTTACAAAAGTTGATAGTCGAATTAACGTCTACAACAATCATATCAGTACTAGAGACCGATGGATCTGTCCAGGACATTCATAAGGCAAAGCATGTCGACAACATCAACGTGTGCAACAACGCATACCAGAACTTGAAGTTTGATTTAAAGAACTGTAGACGCCTGAAGTCGTCCTCTGCCACCAGCACTAATTCCACGCTCAACGATGTATACGAGCTCGAAATTCCAAGGAAGTACTACGAAAACTGTGTTTTGCCGGACTACTTATCGCCATCGTTCAAGACATGCAACATCTCTCGTTCATACAGGCTTTCTATCGTGGCTGGTATTTCGTGCGAGAAGGTATCAGACCCCACAAACGCTACCGAAGTTGAACGCAAGGTTCAATACGTCGACCTCCAGTGTCCCGACATCAAAGTTTTGAGCGGTTTGAATATGACCAGCACCCTCCATTCCAATGCCTCGGGCACTAGCTTACCCAGTAAGACAAACGACTCCCCAAGACCTTCATACCCATTCGCGGCAGACGAAAAGAGACAGGGTTCCTTCTCGTCTGAAGTAACTCCAACCCTTCCCCAGAGGCCCGTGTTCCCATCCGAAAAACGAAAGCCGTCAGCAGTCTCCGAAGTCGCCTCCTACGATGACGTTTCCTCCGATACACAACTATTACCCACATATGATGACGTTGTCAGAGAAAGCTCCTACCAAGACAATAGCGAACATTTGCGGGCTAGACGCCGCTACCAGCAGCACGAACAATACTACAATAACTTAGACGACGCCTAAAGTGTGCGTATACTTCAGCAATGCCTTATTGGCATTTGGATCGTCTCTAGACATCGTCCTGACCGTCCATTCAATATTTATTCACCTACTACTCTGTCTATCATGATTATATAATAATACAAGAGTAGTGTGTTGCACAAACCTGTCGGGACGAATTTCACGACCAGTGAAAAATTGTTTCTCAAGTCCAATTGTAGGCATATTTAGAGGCAAATCCTATTTATTCTCATACATTTAATCGATAAAAGCATATAAAATGTCCGGATTGGATAACACCACCAACTTCTTTGCTAGGAATAGAACAGCCATTGCGCTTACCGCATTAGCGGGAGTTTCAGCCGCTGGTGCTTACTACTATTACAGTCAGCAACAATTAGGAAAGAGCGATTCACAAGCGGATTCGAGCTCGAAAAAGAAAAAGAAGAAGTCCAAGAAGAAGGCTAAGAATGGTGAAGGCGAATCAGGAGCATCAAACAGTGACAATACTGAAAAAAGCGTGAGCTCGGGTGAAAAGTTGTACCCAGTTGATGCGAAGGGAGTTCCACAGATCACTGACGACGCCGTCGCTAAATTGTCGGAAAAGGAAAAGGAAGAGTGGGCAATTGCGTTGAAGGAAGACGGTAACACCGAATTCAAGAATAAGAAGTACGACGAAGCGATTGTGTACTACTCGGCAGCATTAAAGTTGAAAACTGATCCGGTATTTTTTTCCAACAGATCTGCTTGTTACGCCGCGTTAAATGACCATGAAAACGTCATCAAGGACACCACCGAGGCCATCAAAATAAAGCCAGACTACACCAAGTGTGTGTTACGTCGTGCAACCTCTTATGAGATCTTGGAAAAGTACACCGATGCCATGTTTGACTTGACTGCGTTGACTATCTACGGTGGTTTCAGCAACAAGTCTGTCGAACAAGTTTTAGAAAGAGTATTAAAGAAGCACTCTGTTAAGATTGTCGAAGCTAACTTGAAGAACAGAACCCTTGAATTGCCATCGGCTTCTACCATTGGTTCTTTCTTCGGCGCTTTCGTCCAAGAAACCAACCCAGAAGGCTTAAGCGAATCATCTGAAGGTGCTGACAAGTTCTTGTTTGACGCTTTGGCTAATATCAACTCCAACACCCAAGAAGGTTACGAAAAGGCCGATACTTTATTTAACCAAGCCGTTGAAGCTTACAACGTCGAGGAATTGACCAACAAGTCCGATGCCGCTGCTAAAGCTTCAATCGCTTTAGAATACTCTTCTGCCATCAAATTTTTGAAAAATGACCCTACTGCTGCCGCTTCTGATATTGCAAAGGCCATGGCTTTGAAGCCAAGACCAAGAACATACATCTTTAGAGCTTTAATCAATGCTGATAAGGCTTCTTTTGCCGAAGCCATTAGTGACTTTGAAGAAGCCAAGCGTATGGATCCTAAATTCCCTGATACTTTCTACCACTTAGGTCAATTATACTACCTTACCGGTGATTTACAAAAGGCTGAAGAAAACTTCACTTTAGCTAAGGACTTGAACCCAAATAATGTTTACGCCCATATCCAATTGGCCTGTATCACTTACAAGAATGGTGATATCAAGGCTGCTGAAGACAAATTCACTGAAGCAAAGTTGAAGTTCCCTACTTCCCCAGAAATTCCAAACTACTATGGTGAAATCTTAGCTGATCGTGGTGACATTCAAGCTGCATGCAAGCAATTTGATACTGCTGCTAGATTACAATCTGCTTTGCCAACTTACTCGGTTGGTGCTTTGCCATTGATTAACAAGGCTACTTTAATTTCCAGAGAAAGCTTAGAAAGAATGGATGAATCTGAAAAATTATTAACCGATGCTTGTGAATTAGATCCAAAATCTGAATTAGCAAGAATTTCCTTAGCTCAAATTAAATTGCAAAAAGAACAGGTTGATGAAGCCATTGTCTTATTTGAAGAATCATCAAACTTAGCTAGAACTATCGAAGAAAAGGTTCAAGCCACTTCGTTTGCTGAAGCTACTAAGATGCAAAAGAGAATCAAGAATGACCCAATCTTAACCAAAAAGATTGAAGAAGTTATGAGAAAGTCGATGATGTAAAATTATGATTTAAATTTACATTTACCTTAAAAATTGCTTATTTGTCGGATACTGACCTTCAAGTGGTTCAGAATTCGATACTCTCTTGTAAATTCATAATCTAATCTGTTTGATTTTGATGATTTATATGTATATAACCTTTTCTTATATTATTATCTAAGTATTATAAAATATTATAAATGCTTTTTAACATCTATGTAGGTATTTGTGGCTAAAAGTTGCGAGCGCTATATATTGCACCAAGACAACGTTATATCAAACACATCGAGTTGATTAACTTACTCGCTTCTTGTTCTGTATATTGAAAGATACCAATAGATGAAAAGAACTTGACATTGTATTATTGAAATTCAAAAATATTAATGAAATCAATATTAAGATCCATCGTGGGGTCCCCGAAACAAAGTCATTATGATCCAACATTGAATTTACTGTTTGACTTATCATACATCACTCCTCAAATAATTGTTTGTTCAGGGCCGGTTACCAATTATTTACAAACATTCTACAGATATCCAGTTGAGGATTTAGTGAAATTTTTGACTGCAAACCATAGCTCTCATTGGCATATTTGGAACCTAAGAGGCGAAGAACCAGGGTATGAAAATAAAGATGTAATGTCTAAAGTTAGCCATTTCCCATTTCCAGATCATCAGCCGCCCACTATAGAAATAATTCTTGAAAGCACAAAAGAAATAGACAAGTTCTTAAGCCAATCTACAAAGAATGTTGCTGTCCTTCATTGCAAATCAGGTAAAGGAAGATCAGGAACAATTTGTTGTTCATATTTAATTTATAAGAGCTTAAGTTTGCAAATAGAAATTGATCCACTTAAGGCAATAGAATTTTATACTCAGAGGAGAATGAGACCCAGTGCTGGAGATGGTGTATCGATATTATCTCAAAGAAGATACCTTGAATATTGGTTTGAATACTTAAATCTTGCGCCTGAATTACAAGAGATACATCATGGCTTCACGCGAAATCAATCAATGTTTGATATGAAGAAATCTTGTATTACAATGATACGAATAAATAATTTCAAATATTCTGGAGATATAAAAACCTGCTGTTTAGATTTAGATTTAATTCTCGAAACGTACGCCAAGCGACAAGATTATCCCAATGGAGTCCAAATTAAGCATGCCTATCAAGTTAATGCTTCGGATATACGAAAAAAACAAAATAATAATTTCATAATTGTTCCAGGAAAGCCAATATACATTTCTGACTTGAAGGATGTAAGGATTTCAGTCAAGCAATGGTGTTTCTCTTGGTTTAACATATTTTTTGAAACTTTGCATTCGAATAATACGAATATTTTTGCTATAGACTCCATACTGGAAAATACGCAATTCATCAAAGGGGAGTATAAGTTACGATGGGAAGATCTAGATGGTTTTAAGGGTACCCGCCAAAAAGGTATGAGACTATTCGAAAGTTTAGATATATGCTGGAGATTGTACTATTAACAAGATTAATATTTACTATAAATCATAAATCCTTATATAAATTAATTCGATAGTTAGCTTAACCACCACGCTTTTCATTATCCACCTCGAGCCAAATTTCCCTCAACACATCTTCAACCATATTCATCGCCTTAGAATTTTCATCCAACTTGATAATATTTCCCGATTTCCCTAGCGTATAAGGCTTTGCTAACCTAATTTCATTAAATAGTATGATATCAGACCCCTGCCACTTAACATTATCGGCTCCAT